CCAAGCCATTTTCACAGGCATAGACTCGGTGGCTGCAACCACCTCTGAGTTAGGCACCCCAATTACCATCCCGCATTTAAAAGATGTGGGGACAGGAGCAGAGCAAAGTCAAGCAACGAGCCCAGGGTCACACGGCCAGTAAGATGCAGCCAAGGCCGTCTGACCCCATGGCCCGTGCACTTCACCACCGTTCCACTTGGGCCTTCCAGTGGAAGTCAAATTACCACCGTAGCACCTGCCACCCCAGGGGGCCCATGGGGTTCAGACGCCCCCTGCCCCTCATGCCCCTGGGCCTGGGCACGGGCTGTCTCCTCTGCCTGAAACACCTCCTCTGCCTCCTCTGCCCAATTCGCTTCTGTGCACCCTTTGGACCCTGACATTGGAAAGTGTCACCTCCTAAGGAACACCTTCCCCGTCCCTCTGCAGACGCTCCAGATCCACTTACAAACTCTCGCTGCCTTGCTTCCCTCCGGGGCACCCATCACGTTGCACTCACATATTTGCTGATTCTCCATACACTTTCCCCACCGCCCCTGGGCCTGGAAGGCTGCACGAGACGCAAACATACCAGCGTGGCCCATGCCCAGTCCAGCACCTGCACAGGGCCAGCACTCGGTACATACCTGGGGAACTGACTGCTCGACTTAAGGCATAGCCTCAAGGTCTCCACTAGCTCTAAGGCTACAAGACTGTGAAGTGTTCTCCATCTCTCCCTGGTGGTCTCCTGCCTTCCTCAAGGACCTTTGCCCCATATGGCCCCTGCTCCTACTGTTCCCAATCACACTGAGTCCCCTGAAGGAGGGGCCAAGGTGCCGCTAGGCCAGAGTCTGCTCATGCAGGATATGGGACTGGAGGAGGGCACAGGGCTGCTGACCTTACAGACAACCCCTGGTTTCCCAGGGTCCGGCCCAAGGAGAGGTTTCCTAAGACCCACCGGGGGTCGGGGAACAGAGCACACTAAGAGGAGGGGCCCAGACCCCGGACATCCTGTCTCGATGGCCAGAGATGATCTCTAAACCCCATAAAAGCTGGAGCCGTGGAGGCGGCTGTGCCACCACCCCCGAGCGCTGTGGTCTGGAGTCGGGAGCCAGCAAGATCGATATCGTTCGGGAGGCTTTCAGCTCCAAGTCCTTTCTGCTGCCAAGTCTCCCCAGAGGACGGAGGGGATGGTGTGGAGGAGGCAAGAGGCCCAAGGAGAGGAAAGGAAGTGTGTGTCCTTGAGGACCTACAGCCCGGCAGTAGACCCAGGGCCGGCCTGGGTGCTGCATGCTCTCCTCACACCAGCCCCCCTTCAAGGCAGGTATTACCCCATTTTACAGATGAGGACTGGGGGCCAGAGAGGGGGAAAGCTTCCCGAGGTCCCACCAAAGTCAGAACCACACCCAGCCGTGCTTGGTTCCAAGGCCAGCACTCCCCAAGGCAGGCTGCACTGGAGGACTGATGTCCAGTCGGCCACAGGGCCCAGCCTCTCCTAGGCTGCACCTGCGGGCACACCCAGAATGGAGGCCAGGAAGGGCCTCCTCCCCACACCTGCAGGGACAGGGAGCCAGCTCCTCCTGAAGCTCCCCCTCCATTACCAGCAGCCCCTCTGGCCTCGACCTCCCTACAGCCCTCACCTGAGATAGCATGCGTCCCAGCGAGTGCTGGCTCTCATCCCCAAGAGGCCGCAGCTCACCCAACAGCCAGCATCCCAACCTCCCATGCCTCCTCTTCTCCAGACGGGGCCCTCGGGGGTCCCCGAGGCTCCACCCCACCAGCCCCTTGCTACCAACTGCAGTGTGGCCACAGCCCGTGTCCAGTGGCCTCCTCGGAGGTCTGATCTGCAGAACTCCTGGGGGTGCTCCCTCCCCTCCTCTGCGGGTGGCACTGTGCTGACTGGTGCGGCCCCGGTGGGCAGCCCTGCCCCACTGCTGGCCCACTCCCCTGGGACTGTCAGCCAGAACGCTTGGTGGGAGGCGGGCAGGGGAGGAGATGCCTTCCAGGAGACACGGCACAGCCCACTGCCCCGTGCACATGTGTGCACACACACAGGCATGCACCCACGCATGCATGTGCACACATGCACACGCATACACGTGCACGGGTGCCTTTGGTTTGGCACCTGCAGTTGGTGTTTTTAAAGCCAGCCATTCCATAAACTGTTTAGAAATTGCTGAGACTAATAAAGTCATTTTCACCAACTCATGAGGAAAAGCCAGTTCTTCTTCAAAAAAGGATGGAGAGCCCTGGTTTGTGTGGCTCAGTGGGCTGGGCACCGTCCCGCAAACCGAAGTCACTGGCTGGCTTCCCGGTCAGGGCACACGCTTCGGTTGCGGGTTCAGTCCCTGATCAGGGCACATTCGAGAGGCAACTGATTGATGTTTCTCTCCCTCTCTTTCTCCCTCCCTTCTTCTCTCAAAAATAAATAAATACAATCTAAAAAATACAAAAAGGAAGAATTTAACACCCATGAGGAGAAAGTCCAGAGGCCCTGAGGCTGGGTTTTCTGGGCCCTTCCTGGCCCACCACCACCTGTCTGTAGACTGCAGGTGACATGTCCCCTAGAGACAGCGACAGCTCCCCCTTCCTCTGCCCTTGAGAAGGGTGGGGCTGAACACTGCCTGGTGGCAGGAGCAGGGACATTTGGACTCCGCTCCTGAGGGGAGAAGACAGTACGCCCCCACTCCCAGAAGGGGTGAGAGCCGGACAGACTGGCTGTGGGGACACCCAAGCCAGTGCAGAGGGCACTTCTCCTCCCAGCCTGTGTCCAGAACATGCTGGACCATGTCCATCCACACACGTGGCCATGGAGACTCAATTTGGAGAAAGTCCTTCCACAGTCATCTGGGCCCAGGCTGCCCACAGCATCCCGTGGGGAAGCCCCAGGGCCCAGCTGCACCTCAGCCTGATTCTCCTGGGACCTGGGCGTGGGACCCGGGCTGTGGTGTTTTCCAGACAAGGCCGAGACCTGGTGAGAGACTGCTCACCTCCAGCCCCCCAACCCCATTCCTCTGCCCCTCCTGCCCTCACCTCAGCTGGTGTTCCTGCCTCTTCTGAGGCTGGTCTCTGCTCATATCCTGAGTGCCTGCTGCAGCCAGAGACTCTGCTCGTCGGGGCCAGGCCTCGCCCCTCCCTCGCCCCCGGCCAGCCCCAGGCTGCAGAGACTCCATCAGCAGCACAAGCCCCAAGATGAGGGAGGCCTCGGAGGGCGCCCCCTCTCTGCCTCGCTGTTTAATGTCCTCAAAGCCAGGCTGGACCTGCCTAGCTCCCAAACTGGAGCCTGTCCCTCTCACGTCCCCTGCACCAGCCCAGCCAAGGTACCCACATCACTCCACATCTGGGTGGCATCAGAGGGCGACCTCCCTGTCACCGCAGCAGCCCTGGCCCACGGAGGGCTCCCCAGGGAGGTGGCCTGGCTGACCAGCCGTCAGTTTTCTCTCCTGTCCGCCCATCGAGTCCTGTGACGCAGCCCCGAGAGCAGAGGCAAAGGCGTGAGGTCTGCTGGCCCTGGTTCCTAGCCTGGCTCTGCCGCTTCCTCTCCAGCTTTGCGATTCTGAGCAATCTCTGAGCCTCTGAAGGAACCTCGGTTTCTTTCTCTATGAAACGAGGACAAGGACAGCCCTTATCTCACTGGGTCCGTGTGCGTGAGAAGACACACATACGTGCTCCAGCTGTGCGAACTCTTGGCACTTGGCAGCTCTGCCAAGCTCCAGCTGTCACCCGCGGGGACAAGCACCAGCTCTGCCCAACGGAAGCGATGGGACCTCTCACAGCCTCGGTTCCTTACTTGTCCCCTGGGACTAGTGCCACTTACCTCATGGGCTCGTTGGGAAGATGACCTGTGACAATGCCTCGCACACAGAAGCTGCAACACGTGGCCCTCCTCCAGTGCAGGCAGGGGCTGTGTGTCCTGGTCTCTGTGTCCCTCACAGCAGCTCTCAGAGTACAGTCTGGGACTCAGGGGTCTGGGAGACCCTTTCAGGGGTTGTGTGAGGTCTAAACTCCTCTCCTAATAACACTGAGCTCTCATTTGCCCACCTCACTCTCATTTCTGAGTGTGTGCAGTTTTCCGGAGGCACTCGTGTGAGAGAGCAGGGCACAGGGAAAGCAGACGCCAGTGGAAGAGCCCAGCTGTCTTCTGTCAAGCCCGGCCTGAGCGAGCCTTTCCAAAAAGGCCAAACAGTGTGGCTCTTCCCACCCAGTCTTTTTTGTTTTAGAAAATAGCATTTTTCATAAAATTTCGATTTATGTCAACATGCAGTGAGCTTGATATTGCCATGGGAGTGAACTGGCAAACACTTTTAAACATTCTGTTTCCATCTAAAACATGGGAGACGTAGAAAGACGGCGCCCATGGGAACAAGAACTGGACGATGTCTGAGTGTGACTGTGTCCCTGGGGGGCAGGTCCAGGGAGGCCGCCCACAGCTCTCACCGGCTCTCACCCTGCCGGCCATGTACGAGTGCTCTCAGCACACCGCCGCTCAGATCGGCCTCCCTGCTGCCCCGCGGGGGCCACCGCAGGCTCCACGGGGAACCAGAGCCGTGTGGCACGAGTGTGTCCGATCTGCCAGGGCTCCCTGTGCTGGCTGGGCCGACCTCAGTGGGTGCCACTCCAAACCTTCCACGCTGCGAAGGACTCGCCCAGGACCACCAGGATGGAACCCGCCTGCACACTAAGCCAACCCAAAGCCAGGTGGTGGAGCTGAACGCCCGACTCTGCCACCTGAACCCTCGGGTCCAGCTGTGCCTGGACTTCTCGGTCACGTGGGCCAATAAGTTCCTTTTTTATTTTCTGAAGCCAGTTTGAGTTGAGTTTCTATTCTAGCGGGAAGAGTCCCGATGAAACCCTGGCAGTAATCAGAACAAGACCTGGTGGGCGGAAGCTGCCGGGAGGACCTAGGGTGAGCCGTCCCGCAGGACGCCCCTGAAGCCACGCAGCCAGAGCTTGGGCGAGGCCAGTTTGGCCCCTCAGAGACCTGGCAGACCCCGTTCCAAAACCACGCAGCTAGACAACAGCACGATTTTTCTTTCACTTTATCCTTTATAAAGCCATACAATGGGTCGCAGAGAAACGAAGCAGCTGTACAGGAGCAGGGCAGCGTCAGTGTTCAGTACATTCGTATCCGGGCTAAGTAGCGTACACCAGGGTTTACACCAGGTGGCGGAGGCCACAGGCACAACGATAGAAAACAGAAAGTATATTTCCACCTATATAAACACAGTCGGGGGTGGGAGGAGGCTGGGCTATTCTGTGTTTCCTGCAGAGGGCGGGGAGGCGGGGGCGGGCGGGGGTGGGAGAGGGGCAGTAGGCACTTCTCACGCCTGTTTTGAGTGACATGTCGGAGGGAGGAGAGCAGTGGGGAAACACAGCATGCAGACACGGATGTGTTCCTCACACACACACACAAACCACACAGGGACACAGGAGAGGCTCGAACTGCTTGACACATTGGCAAACACACGTGGGACATCCCTCCACAATCATGCAGCCGCTACGGCCTGGACTCCAGGACTTCGAACGTGTGAAGACAGCCTCACCCCATCCGCAGTGCTGAGATTCCTCCAGTGGGCGCCCCACAGGCCCCGCCTCCTGATTCCTCCCACGTGGGATGGTATTCAAGGTGACGCCCTCCTCTTGCCCACCTCCTCCAACCCAACCCCTCATTTCCCTAGAGATACAAGCAAAATACGCACACACGGACACCCACACTTGCACGCACACGTACACACATCCCATGTTACCAGCCCGGGACCCCGGGGCCTGGACCTGGGTGAGGAATGGCCCCAGGGCTCTGCCGCTGACCCCTTCAAGGACCCCAAACGAGGGAGGGGCAGGGGCAGGAGACCGCCTCTGGACAGGCCACTGGCCCACTTGCTCTCCCCAGCTGGGAAAAGCAAGGAAGGGCAGAAGCCCCAGGAGGCAGGAGCTGGTGCCCGTCCAGGGCACAGGTGCTGCTGCACCTGCAGAGCCCTCCACACCCCTGCACGGCATGAGGAGCCGGCCCACGTCTGCTAATGCCCACGAGGGGAGGGCGGAAGGACACCCTGGTCACCCCCTCCTAGGGGCCCCTTTACCGAGGGATCACACCTGTCCAGCCAGCTGCCTCCACTTACGGTTACGCAGCCAACCAGCACCCTTCGTCCTGCCAGTGCCTGACACGCCCAGGGACTCCTCAAAACCCAGTGCAGAAGGGATTCTGGAAGTCCACAAGCTTTAGGAGCCACTGCAGGAAAAGCTTCCGTGAGGACCAAGGTCAGAAGGCCTTTCCCAAACCTAGGACGTGACGTGTCTGTCCCTCAAACACCTGACTAGATGAGGGAGCCAAACACCACGGCCTCAGGGGAAGGGATTCCAGTCACCCTTGGAGGCTGATCAAACCGCTCACCTCCTCCCACTTCCCCTCTGGGGTCACCTCTCCATTGCTCCCATGCCCAGTGCCCCCTCTTGTTCCACCTGGGAGGGGCCGCACAGCCATCGCTGGGCCAGGCCTGGGGCCTGGCTGGACAGCTAGAAGCAGGCTGGGCCAGGAGCGGCCACCAGCTGACCACGCCTCTCCCAGCACCCACTCCCCAGGCTTCTCGAGACCAGACAGTACTCTCCTGGCCACCAGACAGACTCAACAATAAACAGCAAATACATTGAGGGAGAGGGGAGAGAGAAAACGATAAACATTTACATGATAAGAACAATAATTATTAAAAGTGCTTTCTTTCAAAGGACATCTTTGGCAAGAATACACTGCAGTGCTGTGGGGGGTGTGCGTGTACATGTGCGTGTACGTGTGCGTGGGTGCCCGGGCCTGACCGTGGTGGGGAGACTGCAGCGTCTTCCCAGCCACTGTGGACTCGGGGGCGCCCTTCCCCAACCTTCTTCTGCAAAGGCCAAACTCTGGGAAACCGACTCCCTCACAGGGAGTGTGTTCATTAGCTTCCCAGTGGCCCCCAGGTCCTGCCCACGGGGTCACACTCAACTCAGGCCTGAGTGGGGTGGGCTGGCCATGCCTGGGAGGTGGGCGGTGGTGGGCAGTGGGAAAGCTCGTGAGAAGGCGGACCCTGGGCCTGAGTGTACACAATGGTCTGACACTCCTGCCGGCCTCAGTGTGGAGAGGACGCCCCAGGGCTGTCCGGGGCGGGGCAGATGGAGATCTTTACAAAGGAGGGGGCGGAATACCTCCAACCTGGGAAGAGCGTTGGGGCCAGAGAGGAGCGAGGAGAGGGACACCCCAGCATCTGGCCTGAAGGCCTCAGAAGGAAGAGCACTTTGGGGGAACCTTAGCCACCAAGCACAAGGTTTGGACTTTCGGGAAGCCGGGGGCTGCTCGCCACCTTCCTCAGATACTCTCCTCTCCAACTCCCTGAAACAGTGTGTCCACACAGATGCAGCTTCTTGGAGGAGAAAGAATACAAGAGACGCACACTCACCCACGGGCCCCACTGGCTCACACGCTCGCTCAAACCGTGGTGAGTGGGCTCATCTCGGGCCCTGATGGCCGAGGCCTGGGCCTGCCAGAGAATAAGGGGCTGCAGGCGATGGAACACGCCCCCACCGAGCCCCAGGCTGAGCCTAGGGAAGGCCGAGGCAGAGCCAGGGGACCCTGACCACCCCAAGGGCGAAGGCCCCGACATTTCAGGCTTCACTTACAAACAGGAAGAGGGACGGGAACTGGTTTATGCCCAAGGAGGCAATAAAGCAATGTGGGAAAACAATAAATACTTCTTGTCAATTTACCTATTCTTTTTTTTTTTACCTTTTCTTACATTTTATTAGCTTACAGGTTCTGTCAGTATGTCTCACATATATATTATATATATTTATATATCAGTACAATGCCTCTCTCTAGGGGACCCTCGGAGGCTTAAGAAGCCCCTCAAGCGTGGAGTCTTGGTGAATTTTCCACTTCAGCTTAGAGTCTTTGGGTGGAGGTTGGGGGTTTCACCATGGCCCAGATGAACTCTAGGCCTTTTGGCCTAATGCATGCCTTGTGCCCTCTGCTCACGGGCAGTTTGGCTTTGCTGGGGAATCCAAGGCAGAAGGGAGAGAGTAAGGCTCCAGTGATGTACACAGGCCATGTGGTGCAGAGGCAGCAGCCCCCAGAGCTCTGCTGAGTCACCCTGGACAGCCCAGCAAAAGCGGAGCCCAGAGGCTCGCGGAGGCCAGGGCAAGGACTACAGGCATCTCCCCTGGGTCCCCAGGATGAGCCCAACACAGGGACCTGTAGGGCAGAACAGGGCAGAGCAGGAAGGCTCAATGCCCAGCACCCGAAAAACACCATGCAGGTAAAGCAAGTCTGAGATAAGGCTGGTGTGGGTGCGAAACCCAGGGCTGGGCTGAGGGCTGGGAGCTGGCAGGAGCGACCTGCCCACCTCCCTGCTGGGCCAAACGATTTGGGAAACAGGCCTAGAGGTCAACAGCATCTGCAGCTGAGGGTCTCTTCCCCGGAGGCCATGGAAACGCATGTCTCCACCTCCTCAAATTAAGGTCCAGCCTCCTGGTAAAGGCAGAAAGGGGTCACACGCCGCAGGGTGGCCGGCCCCACTCCTTCTGGGTCCTTGGTCCTGGGGAAGGGCACTCAGGGTCGCTAGAGTGCAGGCACAGGGACCAAGGCAGAGCCTGTTACCCACATTCCTGGGTGCTCCTGGGGAGAAGGCTGCTGTCCCCTCGCTGATGCCGTGTTGCTGCAACTCTGACCTTCTTTGGACAGTATGCACGTGTGTGCAAACACAAGGAACCTGGGCAAGTACACCTGTTTATAATTCTAGCAGAGAGGCAAACATAACTCAGTGTGCGAGGATGTGGTGCCGACATATACACAACCCCCCACACAAACTGTACATTGGAGGCAGAGCAGAGACCTTAGGTGCCCGGGGTCTGAGATACTTTCAAAAGCAAACGTTCTGCCAGTCGATGCCCCACGCTAGTTTGGTAACGTGCCCTAGAGGTGGCCAGGAAAAGATTCTCTCGACTTGATTTCTCCTTGCAAAGCAGTTGGGCTAGAGGGACACTTCTCCATTTCTCCCCAAAGCATGGACCCCCAAGGAGGTCGGCTCTGCCTCCGTGGGGGGGCTCCATCCCCTGGAGGGGGGGGGCGTCAGGTGGACCTGGTCAGTTTTGAAGGCTTCGGGGCTGCACAGCATCCATCCACCCACAGGAATCAAGTTCTCCTCCAGCCTTTTCTTTCTTTCTCTCCCTCTCTCCCCCTCCCCTCCGCAATTCACTTCCCTCTCCCCATGTCGCACTTTCTTCTCTCCTTCTCCAAAATTGGCCCAAAGTCCTCCCTCTGAATTCAAAGGTGGTCAGCATTCATGGGTCCCCTCCCCCACCACACCCATCCCCACTGCCCTGGCCCGGGCACGGGGTGAGTTCATCTCTTCTGGCCGGCACTCAGCATGACCTTGGAGACAAAGTTGACAATGGCAGAGGCAGGCTGGTTGGGGTCAAGCTCAGCAAAGAGGTGGCAGGCGTTGTCCGTGGTGCTGCCCTGCTTCCGGGCCACAAAGCCGAAGAGCCTGCAGGGGCAGGAGAGGGGTGACGGGTGTGAGGGGAGAGCCCCAGGCCACCCAGGGGAGCAAACGTATCTTCAGGTCAATCTCTGTGCCCCGTGGCTCCACATCTCCTGGGCATGTGGCAGGGGACATAAGAGAGAATCCTCTCTCTCTCCCACTGACAAGAAAGTCAAGGGACACTAGAAATGACAGTGTCACGTGTTTTGGGATAGGCAGAAATTCCCCTTTGGGGGGAGGGGAGAAGTTCTGGGGAGGGAGAAGAGCCACTGCAGGCAACTGACAAGACGACAAGACTGGACAGAAGGCAGAGGCGGAGATGAGCCCCCAAATCAAATGGGGACATTCCTGGCTGAGCTTTTCTCAGTTCATCTCAGCCCCTCTCCAACCCAGGTGTTCCTACACACGACACGTAAGCAGAGTAAAACGCCTCTAACCGCCAAAGGGCTGGTCCTCCTCACCCGCCAGGAGGTCAGGGAGACCAAAGGACAGGGGTCGCTACCCTGCCCGCACCACACACACACCGACAGACACACACACACATTTCTCCTGGGCTCCAGGGAATGGGAGGGGGAGGGAGACCCCGCAGCTGTTCCCCCGGCCCCCACTCCCTGCACCAAGACTGGAGTGAGCTGGCATTCTCTGTGCAAAACAGAGTTAAAAATACGAGAGCAGAGAACAGAATGTGAGCTCAGGTCCCCTCCCAGCCCGCATGTTGCTAATTAGGGCGAGACGGGGAAATGGGGACAGCTGGACATTCCGATGGAAACCCCTCTCCCTCGGGCTGGACCACAACAGCTAAAATTAGAAAAGTGGGGCCCAGCTTGCAACTGTGCACACACATGCACGTACACATACACCAGGCTTCCTACAGCTGCTTCAGGGGCTGGGAACCACTGGGCCAGGGGTCTGGGGGAATGGTCCACCCAAGAACTGGAAAAGCCTGGGTCCATGCCCCACCCCCGAACCCCCTTTCCAGGCTTGCTGGGCTGCTCGCTGGGCTGACCAGTGCGGTGGAGGGCGCTCAGGGCTCTGGGAGGGAGTGGCTCTGAGCTGCGGGCATGAAGGTACGCCAGCCCGGCCGCCAGGCTCTGCCACGATGGGGAGCCCCCGCCTCCCTCCCCTGATGTTTATTTCAGCTCCACGGCCTCCAGGGCCAGTTCAGCAATTCCTTCCTCTGCTTAGGGAAGTGGCAGGGAGAAACAACTCCTTAAACTCGGGGCTTCGGGCATGTCCACGCCTCCCCTAGTCCCACCCCCAGCCACGGAGCTGGGCTCTCCCATGCCTGTGCCCTGCCCATGAATGAGGAGAATGATTTTCAGGCCTGGGACCAGCCTACTTCTGTCCCTGACCCCTCTCCCCCAAACAGGGCCCAAAGGTCAGTGAGCAGGAGCCTGTTCAAACACAAAGCTCTGGCCTCCTGGCTGGCGGCAGGGACATGGAGACCCCTAATGACCACCGTGAGCCCAGGAGAAGGCTGAGCCAAGTGTGAGACAAGCTTTGGGATGGCTGGACGCCCGGGCCCTCCTTTCAGGTGGGCTGCTAACTCTTCACATGACCGGGGCAGGTTGAGGTCTCCTCCATCCCACACGGCCCCTCTGGACACCCGCTGCTCATCATGCTGATGGACTGCTGGTCGGTTCCATCCCCTCCTGACCGAGGTGGCCTCACTGGCCTCAACCTGCTCCTGCTCCCCCACCCCGAGCCCATCCCGAAGAGCACAACCAGCTGGGGTGGGCGAGAGGCCACACTTACTTAGCAGGGGCTCCTCCCTCTGTCTTCATCCACCTGTGGGGAGAAAGACGGCACAGCGTGAACCACTCCGCCTCCTCCCCAGAGCTCGGCCCTGTGCCCGAACCCTCTGGAAGAAGGCAGAGGAGCCTGCTGCAGTTGGGAGCATTCAGATAAAGAGGACTATGGCCCGCCCCCCAGGGAGCTTTCCCCAAGGTAGAGAAGAGGTGCAGATTCAAGGTCAAGGACAAGACAAAGGCTGTGAAAGCAGGCATTTGACTTCCTGGGAGGGTCTCCAAATTTATCGTGGGAAACACTCAAAAAATGCCCAGGACAATTACACTCCCTCCGACACAAGCAGATCTTCCAACTGAACCAAAGACACACACACACACGCTCAGGCACACACTCATGCACATGTACATGCACACACATGCACACACAGACGTCCGTGTTCCAGAGCTGGCTGGGAGGGACGGTGTCAACAAGAGACTCACTTTCTCTCCTGTGGGTCCAGGTCACAGAAGGTGACGGTGTTGAGAGGGTAGTGTCGTCTGAAGAAGAGCCTGTGGCACAGACATCAGATAAACAGGATGAGTGCCGAAGTGGCAGGTCAGGCCACCTCCCCACCATCTGTGGCCGTCATAGGTCAGCACGGCCTCTCCTGGGTGACCCAGACAGCCTGAGCTGCTCACAGCGGGGACGGAAGCACCGCACGGGAACAGACAGATGTGCCATGGAAGCACCTCTCCAAGGCCAGGGGTTCAGAAAAGAAGGAAGCAAGTGGCACTGAGGGATGAGGAATGGGGGGCCCCAGGAGGGGGAAGGACAGGGGTGGGGGAACAAGTTAGAGAGAACACGAGGGGAAGGGTCTGCTGCAGAAAGCAGGTGCCATTGCCAGTTGCATTGGCGGCTATACACCCAATGCAGGCATATTTGTAGAAAGATGGAAAAATGGGTAGATGGATGGGCGGGTAAGTGGAGACAAATGGGGGAAGGTAAGCGGGGGCAGCATCGATGGGGGTTGAATGGACGCAGATGGCTGAATCAACTGGTGAGTGGGCGAGCAAGAGGATGGATGGATTGCTGGGTGGATGGGTGGCCGGGTAGATGGAGGAGGGATGGGAGACAGGTACAAGGGATGAGTCGATTGGTAAGTGGGGGGGTCGGTGGAAGGACAGATGGGTCACAGGAGGACAGCCTGACACAGAAGTGGGCAGAAGAGTCTTACTTTCTCTGGTTGTCAGTCAGTGTAATTCCCTGGGCAGAAACTTTGAAGTGCACGATGGTGGCAGCTGGCGTGGGGTCAGCGGCCAGTGTCTCAGAAATGGCTTTGGAGATGGCCTGTGGCCCAGTGAGTGACTCCATGTCCACAGAGTTGACGAACAGCACGTTGCAGGCTGGAAGAAACCCACCAAGAGAAGTCACGGAGGATGGCATGGGTGGGGAGGGTCCCCGGGTCCCCTCTTCAGGAAGAAGGTAGCAGAAAATGTCTGGCCAACCTCAGGCCAAAGCACCTGCACCCAGAAATGGGGTGCAGATGACCTTTGGGTCTGAGGGTGATGTCCAGTCTGCACCTGCAGGAGGGGACAGGGCAGAAAGGAGGACGGGCCTGGGCCAGGATCTGGTCTGCAGCGGCCACTCACCTGCCCCTTGCTTCAGCAGGTCAGTGGTTGAGTTGGCAGGGCCCGAGCTATTTTTCGATTCATCTGTAGGGTCTGAGACAAAAATTTAATTCAGCCAGTAATTAAAATTCTAGAACTGGAAAGGGGCCCATGTCTGGCTGGGCCTAAAGCGAGCTTTGAAAACAGTTTGTGCAATGGATACTGCTTTTCATATCAGGCCCTGGCGGTCGGTATGCGTGTGTCCGGTTGGAACGTTCTGTAATTGCTCCCTGGCTGAGAGCTTGAGAGTCCAGCAGAGCTGGGTGCAGACCCTCAGCCCAGCACGCGCTGTCTGTCTACAAAGGGGCATGGTGGTGAAAGACGCATGCCATTGGGTCTGAGATGCCCCATGTGCAGTGTCAGCCCAGGGCTTGGCACAAAGTCTACCTTCAATACTAAAAAGAGCTGAGTATCGTTTGCACCTGCACTTTCCAGACTTTGGTGAGCAGGCTTGTCAAAATACAGATTGCTGGGCCCCGCCCCTGAGAGCCCGATCAGGTGGGGTTGGGGAATAGTTACACTGCTACCGAGCTCTAGGAGGTGCTGAGGCTGCTGGTCTCGGGATCATACTTTGAGGTCTATTAGTTTATACAACGTAAATATCAATTTTATCATTGCTGAATTACTTTGGTAAATTCTGTAGAAATATCATTTAATTAGTGTCTAAATTGTATGGTTAATAATGCTATTTAAGTTGTATTTGAACTTTTAAGCTAATAACGGCAGTCAATTATCATTAATAATTCAATGAATTGAACTGGATACATAGAAACTATCGAATAATATTGGAGGTTTTCTGTGTGGGCAAAACCCCAGGAACTTCAAGACAGAGACAGAGAGAGAGGGGAGAAAGTCCCAGGGGCACTTCTGAATGTCCTATTATTGAACACAGAGGGTAGGGAGAAGGTACCTCACTCAGCTCCCAGCTTCTAGACCTCAAGTTCACAGCCAAGTAAATTGTGGGTCCTGTGTACTTGGGGCTGGGGAATAGAAGCTTCTGCTGTAATACAAGCTATGCTGTGAAGAGCTTTGGGGTCCATCTGTCATCCTCCAAGGCTGGGACACCTCTGAGAGAAACTGAAATCTCCTTCATCATTCAGGTTCTCATTATCTATGTCCTATGGCCCTTGAGTTCCATTCAAACTTTGCACAATTAAAAGAGGGCTTGCTCTTCCCTATCAACTCAGTGTCCCCTCAGTCAGGGACCATCCTGACAGCCACCCACACTAGAAACTTGAGGGATATCTGACCATCCCCTTTCCTTCCCACGCCGCGCAGGGCCCAGTCCCCTCTCCCCCAAGAGATCCCTCCCCTGTGCTCTCTCCTCTCCACGCAGACCAACCTCTCATCTCACCCTGGACCCTCCCGTGATCTAACACTGCCTTCCCCTCCTCCGCCCCCTCCCCTCGGCCCTGCCACGGACACCCATCTCGTCTTCTGAACATGGTCCTCCCCAAAACTGTCTCTGACTTCTAGAGCCTCTTCTGGGATGAGGCTTATGCTGAGAATCCAATCTGAATTGGGGGGCGGGGGGGGCGCTCCAGAGAATTTTCCAGAACAATCTGGCAAGTCAATTTTGTATGCTCCCAGAGTTAAGCTTTTTAATCAACTTTTCCTTCTTTTTTTTAATAGAAGAAAAGGAGAGTGGTTTCAAGTTTCCCCAGATTGGCAAAATGACCCATATCCTCCCACCCTGGCCCCAGTGCTGGAGCGCTGGCTGGGCCGCGGCACGGAGGAGGCCCATTCAAGGGCACACTGGGAGAGGAAGGGGTGTGGGGTTCCTACCTCGGTTTGGAATGACCAGCTTGCAGGGCAGAGCCAGTGGGATGATGGAGTGCTGGTAGACCAGGGCAGAGAGAGACCCTGCAGGGAGGGAGACGGCACGTCAGGGGCAGCTTTGCTGGGGGGGGGTGCTGAGGAAGCCCACCCACGCCAGCTTGCTAGCCACAGTCTTTAGCTTCTGCATTGTTCTCCCTCATCCCGCCAACAAAACTGAAAATCCACTCCCTCTTTGTTAGCAAGACCCAAGGGAGAAGATTCCAAAGGTTCACCCCTACTAGTCGTAGGTTACCTAACAGCTTTCCTTTCTCGAAAGTTACTCCCAGCAGCTCTCCCAAGCCCCGCCAACTGCTGGCACCCCTCTCAGGACAGTGGGTTCAACTCCCAGCGAGGTCACTTATTAGCTGTGTGTTCTGGAATAAGCCTAACCTCTGTGAATCCCCACTTCCTCTTCTGTAATGTGAGACAATGGCACCCACCATGCAGGACTGTCTGAGACCAGAAGTAATATAAGGGACCTAGACAGTGACTTTCACACGGGCGGTGGTCAATAAGGTTGTTACAGCTGTTAATCAGATTACAACGATAGCAAGCCTCAGGTTGGGGCAGGACGAGCACAGGAAGGATTCTGGCAGAGTGAAGGGGCTGTGGCACCGAGGCAGGGAGCCAGCCACTGTTCGTTTCTCCGCCGTGTGTACAGCCAGGGGGACTGGCAGAACCTGAGACAGGGGAACCTGGGACAAGCCTGAGACCCGCAGGTTGACTGTGGAGAGAGAAGTGGGGGGGATCTTACCGAAGTTTGGCTCATTGGGGCACCCCTTGAGCTTGACCCCCCTGGGGCCGGTCTCTATCAGGAAATGTCTCACCAGCTCGTGGGTCATGTCTCCTGGGGTGAAAAGAAAGAAATAAGGATCGGTCATTTCTCATGGTGTCCGCCCACCACCCCCAACACCGCGTCATAACCTCCCCCGTGTGCAGGGCTCTGACGGGAGGAAGCGCCGCAAGACAGCACGGCCAGAGCCGGGGATGAAGAGGCCACGACTCTTCCCACCCCTCTGGGAAACGCAACCGCAGGATCCCGACCACCCGGCCTCCCGATGCTCTGAGCCCCGCCACCCCCAAGCCCAGGACTCCCTCTGCCGAAGAGTCTGATCAGCAGGACCAAGCTCCCATGGGAATCAGAGACCTGCCCAGCGCCCAGGCCCCTCTGGCACCTTGGGGCTTGGAGGGACCATCCCTCTCCCCATCACCCAGTCCCGAGGCCCGGCTCAAAGAGGCAGTGTTACCCTTTTTGTTCTGCTGCATGATGGTCGGAGGGGGAGAAGACACCTTCATGGCCAGCCCGTAGGCTCCTCGGAAGGAGTGGCTGTCGCGGATGATGAAGGCCCCCGGCTCCTGGTCCTTCAGGAGTGCGATGGCTGGAAGGGGAGGGGAGGAGGAGAGGAAATGAGGAAGCGATGGCGCTGGCCCTCCTGAAGTCTCACCGGGCCTCTCGAACCTCATTCTTTCTTAGGTGGCAGGAGAGCGAGAACTCCAGCGCCCCAGGGTCTGTCTACGCTAGAGTCGGCTGTAAATAGCCAGATGTAAATATGTCAGGCTTTGCAGGTCGCGTGGTCTCTACTGCTACGACTCAGCTCAGCCGCTGCAACACACGAGCAGCCACAGACAGTGTATCCACAAGTAGATGTGGCTGACGGCACTGTAGTTACAAACCTGGTCAGCGGTCCGATGTGACCGGGGGCTGCAGTCACCTGTCCTGTCTCCACACAGGCTCTCCCTGGGGGTCTCAGGTGGTCTCATCCCCACCCCATAATCCCAAGGCTGTTTTAGCTATCGAGTGTACAACAGTCTCCCACATCATGCAGACGGGGAGCTAAAGTTTCCTCTTATCTCGGCCAGGCTTGTACTCTGCCCAGGAAACCAAGACTCTGCTGGGTTTAAGGATCCTTCAAAGGAGCATCTCCACGCCCTGCTCTGCCCCGCCCCTGCCCCCCGCCACAGGGACTGCTCTCCCGCCCGATCTTGAGCCCAGCCCCTCTCTGTGACCACCACGTACTGCTTCGGGAGGAAGGAGTCTACTTAAATTTCCTGCCCCAGGGAAGGCCCGGTGGGCAGCAGCCGGCCGTGACCTCGGACACACTCCAGGGACCCCCAGCACTCACCCTGCTCCCTGGAGATCTCGGGCTTGTACCAATACTTGGAAGTGTCCTGGACAAATTTCACTTTAGCCCGGGTCTCAGGGCTGTTGTCTAAAGCAGAAGAAAAAAAAGCGTTATGGGTTAAATTATGTTCCTCCACCCCAAGAAACATAGGGGTTCTCGCCCCCGGTACCTGTGAATGTGACCTTATTTGGAAGCACAGTTTTTGCCGATGTGATCTAATTAGGATGAGGTCATGCAGGATTAGAATGGGCCCCAATCCAATATGACCAGTGTCCTTATAAGAGAAGGGAGAGAGAGAACAAGGAGAGCGCGTCATGTGAGCTTGGAGGTGAAGATTGGAGAGATGTGTCTACGGCCAAGAGACACCAAGCGCTGCCAACGAGGGGCTGGGAGAAGGGCCTGGAAGAGACTGTCCCTCGGAGCCTCTGGAAGGAACCGGTTCTGCCAGCACCTTGATTTTGGACTTCCGGCCTCCACTACCGCGAAAGGATAAAGTCTGCTGTGTTCAGCCACCAGGTTTGCAGTGCTTTGTTACGCTGTCCTAGGAAACTAACCCAGAAAGTCAGTGTCCCCAAACATCATCAGAGTGAGGCTCAAAGGGACCCTGAGCAGCTTCGTCATCCTTCCCGTCGGCCGCCAGCCATGGCGTGTCGCAGACCTGCTCCGGGTCCAAGAGCCGGCACAGCATTCTCACTGAGCCCACGAAAGCCCTGCCCCAGCCCGGCCCCCTCTTACTCTGGAAGATTCAGACCAAACCCTTCCTGCAGCTTCTCCCGCAGGCTAAGACACCCCGCCTCTGGCCCCTTCCTCCCAACCTGACCAGAACGACCTTGAAGACCAGGACAGAAAGACGCAGTTCATTCCAGCACTTCCCCCCAAACACCTCCTCACTGCCCGTCTGGAAATCCTGGGTTCTGGATCACACAGGGCAAAAAAGTCACTCCTGCTCTGGGACCAGGAGGGGAGGCTTGGCCTCAAACTTGGAAGCCATCCCCTGCATGTCCCATACCCTACTTCTCTGGCAGATGCTCTGCCCCACCAGACCCTCTGCAGACCCGGGATGCAGACCACAGAACATTAGGTTCTGGAAGGACCTCTGAGAGTATCTGGCCCGACCGCTTAACTTCACACCTGAGGAAAGTGAGGTTCAGAGGAGGTGGGCGACCTGTCCAAGCCCACGGGGTGAACCTTTCTATGGTTAATTAAACGGCTTCTGGGAGACCTTCCCAGGTGAGAAGACACAGCAGCCACTTCAGCACCGCCTACACCACAGCTTCCCGGCCAGGCATTAGGGTGTGTCCCCTCGCTCCCTAACATCTTCCTTCATCCTCTAGCACAAAAGAAAACAAAGAGGAAAAAAGGAATGCTCTGGTTGTGCTTGTTTCCACTCCCTTCCTGAGAGAGGCAGGAGTGGAGGGAGTTTGCACTAATGATGCTGTAAAGCCCAGAGCATCCAGACCAGGCAGGGGTCGGGGTGTGTGTCCAAGACCTAGTCCATTTCAACAGGTCACCTGAACTCTGCTAGGCTTCTGGGGTCCAACTCCAGAGGACAGGGAGAGGCCAGGCCAGCTCCTTTCCCTGGCAGCCATGCACTGAGGAGGACCCCTAGGCTAGGCAGCTGGGCCGTGTGACTGTGCAAGCCGCCTCTCTGCTCTGAAGGCCCGGCCCCATTGATGCCGGGCCCATCTAATGAGCTGTCAGAGGCGGCTGCAGCCTCATGTGCCTTCCTGTGTTGACTCCAATGGCTATTTTAAGCAGGGGAGATGGTGGGAAACAGGAAATGTCCCAACTACTAGAAATGCTGCATCCTCTGCAGAGAGGGGCTGGGAACCAGATGTCTCTGGTGGGCAGCAGGAAGCAGGGGCGTGCAGGGTCGCTGTCAGTGTCCTGGCGTGGCCGGACCTCATAGCGACACCCTGGGAATCTGGGCAGCTGGGACCCATTCCAGGCTGCCCAAGACTTCCTCAGTCTTCCTAGAATGTCTCACAGCCCTCAGAGCCCCTCTGCACACAGGCAGGTTCCAGGTCTGGATGAGAAGCTGCCAATCAGCTGAGGCCTTGACCTTCGTGTTTGGATAACGATCCCTCAAAGTGGAAGCAAAGAGGCCAAGTTCTGCTGATGAGTGAAGAATTCAGTGTGTAAACCTGCAAGGGCCTCTGTGAAGCCAAGTTGGTAGAAACTAGACCCCGGTGAAATGCCCAACCCTTGGCCTTGTCCCATATCACATCTGGCGGCCAGATCTGCGTGCTGTGTGTGCATCGTGGGGATCAAAAGGTGAGAACAAAGGGCTGGCAAAGGAATGGAGGCCCAGGTTTGGATGGCAGATTGTCACAGTTACGCTGCATCACATACCCCTCAAGCTAGTGATAAAACAGCTCCCCTCATGCTTTAAGAGCACTAGTTTTGGGGGGAGCATGGGCCTGGATTAGCAGCCTGGCTCCGCCATATACGAACTGTCTGGCCCTGGACGAATGGCTGAGCCCCCCAAGCCTGCGTCCTCACCCGCAGCCGTGAGGACGAATGACATGCGACGTAGCTCAGAGCCTGGCACACAGCACGCGCTCGACAAGTGGTAGTGGCTGTGACCACCAGAACACTCACACTGTCATTATTGTTATGTTCACTGTCAGCAGCGGCGGCAGCACCCACAGCCGCCACCACCGTCACCACCGCCACCACCACCGTAGCACGTTTACTCTGAGGACGCCTCCAGCTCCCTTTATGCACATGAGGCGTCTGAGGCCCACGTGTCAGCCATCTGCCCACAGTCGTCTGCCAAGAGGATGCCAGAACAGAGAGCAGGACAGACACCCTACGTGGCAGGCTTCGTCTGTCAGCAGGGGACATGGAGCGGAGAAGAGGCCCACCTGGCATGGAGTACTTGGAGAAGTCGGGCAGAGTGTGCGAGAAGGAGACGGTGCTGCCGCCACTGGGACTGGACATGCCACTGGTGACAGGCGAGGAGGACACCTTCCCATTGACGGTGGCGTAGTTGGGGAGGCTGCCCGCTCGGTCCCCCATGGACATCCTCCACTTCTCTGGCAAGGCTGGCATCGGACTCCCTTGTCGGAAGGCTGCCGAGTCCGGCGACGGGGAGGTGGTGGGGCTGCTCAGGCCAGGGTAGTAGGCAGGGGACACGGGGAAGGAGGGTGTGGAAGGAGCCTGATAGCCAGAGGCGCTGCTCTGCCGGGACAGCGTTGGTCTTCGGTCCTCGGGGGTGGAGTAGCCCCCGTAGGCCACGTGCCGGTCCAAGCTGGGGCTGCCAGGAACCACAGATCCAGGCCCTCCGAGGTGACGGCCCAGGCTGGGGCTTCCGGGGCTGGCTACTGTGTTGCCATGGAGGTTGGAGGCCAAGTTGCCCTGGTGGGCTCCAGGGTGCCGGCCCAGGCTGGGGCTCCCTGGAGTGGTGGCCACACTGCCATGGAGGCCTGAAACCTGATGGGCCCCAGGGTGCCGACCCAGGCTGGGGCTTCCCGGAGTGGTCGCTGCACTGCTCTGGGGACTAGAGGCAGCATTACCATGGAAACCAGTTCCTGGCGGGCCCATCACCTGGCGGTGGCTCAGACTAGGGCTGCTGGGGGCAGCCATGCTGGGGTTGACAGCTCGGCGGCCAAAGCCAGGACTAGGAGGAGTGTTGGTGCCCACTGTCCTGTGGCGTGTCTGAGGGCTCCCAGGTACCGTGTGCACAGCGGCTACATTGAACTGAGACCGGGCCTGGCTTTCTGGGGAGCTGAACTGCTGGAGCGAGGGGTCGGGGCTGCTGTAGCTGCTGCCCACGGCTGGAAGAGGAGAAGAACTCTGGTAGCTTCTCTGAGCCGAAGGGCTGGGCTGGCCCAGGCTGCCGGAGCGGAAGCCAGAATCCAGCAGAGGTTGGGTGGGTGTCCGGGGGCCCTGGTCACTGCTCTCCCCTGATGGGAAACTCCCCACTGAAGTGCTAGAGAGAGAAAGGGCAGATCATGTCAGCAAACGGTTTTAATGAAGAACAGGCTTTCGATGAACACTCAGACCTCCCTCCCACCACTAGTAACAACAGTGCGTTCCACTTGCACGCACGGGAATATCAAGGTTTTTACGTCACCCTGTGGGACTGTCCGCAGACGAAACTGAGGCTCAGATCGGTTAACAATAGGATGGCGATCACATGGCTCATAAAAGACCAGGGTTTCGGGTCTGGCTGTGCCCAACCTCAAAGCACATGTTCTCCCCTCTGTACTACTCTGGCCCCGGTGCCACCGGCCAGAGTGCGGAGCTCTCTTTCATCGAGACTGAAGCTGACTGAATCTACTGAACAAAACGAGTGAATAGATCACAGAGTCACAGATGCAGAGGACAAAATGACAGCTATCGGAGGGGAGGGGGTTGGGGGCTGGCAAAAACGGTGAAGGGATGAAGGAAAAAAACCTCACAGACACAGACAACAGTGTGGTGACTTCCAGAGGAACAGGGGGCTTGGGGAAGGTAGAAGAGGGTGCAGGGGGGACAAATGGAGATGGAAGGGGACTTGATTGGAGTGGTGGACACACAACACAATATATAGTTGATGTGTTACAGAACTGAATATCTGAAACCTATATAATGAACCAATGTCACCCCAATAAATTCAATAAAATAAAAAGAAAGAAACTGACGGCGGCTGTCCTCTTGTCAATGCCAGGATCACTGAACCCTGGAGAGGGGCTCAAACCACCTGGATCCTGTTTGTCCTGGAAGTATCCCCACTTTGATTCAGTTGCCCCGGGTGTGCCACCATTATCTTTAAATGTTGAGAGTGTTAGAATTGGGCTTTCATTCCTGGGTTGCTCTAAAAAGCAAAGACAAGGAAGTCTCATAGGGGATCTCAGCTCCTTATAAAGTCTGCTTTCTAGCCATCGGATCTGGCTACTAATGGAGCAAGCTGCTTTGCATGGTAATGAGACTCCCATCACTAGCAGCATTTAAGCAGAGGCTGACTAATCTCTTGACCTGAATGCTGTGAAGGGACTATCCTCCAATGGAAGGTTAGATTAGATGAGCTCAGAAGTCAAACCCAATTCTAAGACTGAGGAAATTCAGTTCAGAGGAGACTGTACATAGGGGAATAAACAAAATCAAAGGTTCTACTCTGAAGGTAAGTACAAGTCCATAGAAAAGTATAATGCAACGCCCTGTGAGTTGGGAAACCTGGATTCGGCTGTTAGTTTTCCCGTGTAGAAAAAAAATGAGGGGCTGGGTTAGATGACCCTGATTCTTTCCAGACACAAACTTCTATCCCTCGATGACATGGCAGGAGAGATGAAGGTTGGCAGGGACCTACATAAGCAGCAGCTGCAGGGTGGTGGCAGGGAGGCTCTGCACTGGGGCCCCGAGGGGTGGGGCGGCTCCTTACATAAGAAGATGGGCCAAAGCCTAGAGCCGGAGACTGGAAGGATTCTCAAGCCTGGGTTGGATAAGTTCAGGTCCCTCGGGCGATGTGTGGGGGGCAGCGGGGAGATCATTCAAGAGCCAAAGGCAGAGAGAAGTCAGGGGCCAGGCCAGGACAAAGTCTGCCTCACGTGCAGAAGGGGTCAGAGCAGAACAGCCACTTCCTGCGAGAAATAACCTGTATTCTGAGGAATGGGAGGACGTGTCAGGTGGATGGGGGACACCCAAATGGAGTTCTGCGGGACTAATCCCAGAGGAGAAATGCTAGCTTCCTAAATGCTGGGAAGAGCTAAAACTATAGCTGGAGGGTGTGAGTGAGAAGTAATGCAAATTTCCTAATGTCCGGGCCCACTGAACACCAGCAATGGGGGCTGGCAGGTGCAGAAAACCCCCTTTTCTGAGACAGCCACACCCTCTGCCCGAAGGCAGACCTCCCCAGATATGGAGCTTGTCTGCTCCATCAGGAGACTGGGGTCCACGCTGGGCTTGAGGAGCCAGAATTCTTAGAATTCAGGCAGAACTGCCTCTGCTCCCCTAACCGCCTGCCCTGACCTGGGAGGGGGCACACTGCATCGAGCCAGTGACGGATTTCAGCCCACCAGGGGCCTGTGGAAATGTGGGGAGGTGGCTGGAGCAGTTCCAGTGCCCGGGGATCCCAGGCCGTGGCGGGGAGTGAACGTGGGGTGGGGCAGTCAGCAGCAGAGTCTCCCCCTCCTGGGGGACGGTTCTGACCGGGGCCAGTTCCGCTCCCACACCTGCCACCCTGCGGCGTGCCTGGGCTGACCTCGAGCTCCCTCCCTATGTCATCTTCCCTCTCCCTATCATAAAGCCCACCCTGAGCCCAGCAGCTTCTTCCTGTACCCCAATATAGGGGCCTCCCCTTCAGAGCCCTCCCCTGCCCGGTTCCAGGTTTTCCTCTGTCTGACCCGGTCAGAAGGACAGCCACACGTCCACAAAGACATCTCTCCTCGCTCCCCACCTCGACCCTCCTCACCTGCAGCTTCGGGCCCTCAGACACCCACATCCCTCGGCCCTCTGTCCTGGCTGTGCGGTCCTTCTAGAAAGCCCTCTTCTTCCTGCCTCACCTTTCAACACCATGTTCAACCTTCTGGCCTCACCGCAAACACCTCCAGCCCCCAAGAATCCTCCCTGCATCTCTAGTCAGAAATTGAAGCCCCCCTGCTCTGAGCTCCGAGAACTTTACTGACACATCTGCTTTGGGCGCATCCAACTCATCCTGTGTTGTGCACCGTAACCCAGGCCTGGAGGAGAGGAGGCGGGGGGGGGGGGGGGCGCCCACCAGACACCTTTGGTCCGAAACCTATTTCTGCTACTGTTTAGCTGCAGGACTGTAAGCAAGCTACTTTGCCACTCTGTGCCTCAGTTTCCACTTCTGGAAAGTGGGGATGATAAAAGTACTTACCTCATAGCATTGCCATGAGGGTTAAATAAAATAATCACAGGAAGCATTTAGCAAAGTCCCTGGCACAGAGGAAGCACTCACTACTTGCGATTACTGATGTAGAGTTTAACTTTGGGAGAGGGAGGCTTCAGATTCACCTCCATACCCCCCCACAGAACCACCCCACCCCTGACTCCTTCCAGCAGTTCTAGATGGTGGAACTGAATTCAGCCCAGGGATTAGAGCTCCCACGGACTGTGGCTCTCGGGCGACACTTGCTCTCTCAAAGCATCCGATGAGCTGGTTTCCGAGGGACAGCCACCCGGACGTTATTTCTGCCTGCCCACACCCTGAGTGGATCCAAGGGGCCTCACCCATGCTGCCCCAGGCCTGGCTCCTCTCCCTCACTCACCTGTCGGCACTGAGGATGGGGCTGCTGGTGGAGAGGGGGCTGGGAGAGACGAAGGAGCCGCCCAGAGTCCCGTTCCTCACGGGTGTGTCGTGGCTATAGGCCTGGGCAGCTGGGGCGCTGAAGCTCTTGGACTCAGGGTCCTGAGTTCGAGGCCCAGCCACCGCCGTCCTCACCACCGACTCAACGTAGCTCCGAGGCTCTAGAAGGGGCCAGGAGACAGAGACTTAGCACGGAGCTACAGGATGAAATGCAACTCCTCTCCAGAGTCCAGCTGCAGGGGACAGCCCCAAAAGGACAGCCAAGCACACAAAGGGCACTTCTGGGGCTCCTGCCTGCCCAGGCCCACCCCTCCTCCCAGCATTTTGGAGAAGCTGTGGGAACCACACGGAACCTTTCCCCGTGGCTTCGCTCAGAGAAGCCGCCCAGAAACAGACCCCAGTTTCCGCCTGTAAATGCAGCCACGGCAGGATCTTCCCTCTCAGAGCGAGGATGCCCCCCCCCCCCCCATAGCTGGCATCCCTACAGCTGCTTTTCTTTGACATCCTGCCTCCCCAGACCCCAGGCTCTTCTAGGACCCCGGGCAGCACTGGCGTGTGGACCTAGAGCTCCAGCAGCCCTTGCCCCTGTCTCAGGACAACACCAGGGTTCGCATGAGCTTCACCTCACACCCAGGACCCAGAAGCAGGCGAGCCGGCCAGCAGCAGGCCTGTGCCAGTAAGTCACGCCCAGCCCCTTTATGCCAAGACACACCCACCTCCCTGCCTGACACACTTAGCATTCCTCTGGAGACTGACACCATTATCCCCACTTGGTGTTCAAAACATCCTAAGGGGAATGGGGGGGGGGGGGGGAGTGGAGGGACAGGTGCCAGAAAGGCCACCGAACAGATGAGGACACTGAGGCCTAGGGAGTGAAGTGACCAAAGGCCCAGCCAGTGCTTGTTCAGCTCCCCCTCTGAGCCCGGCCCCCAAACTAACTCGATATGAAGTGGGGGGAGGGGAGCAGCAAGATGCCCCGGGCTTCTCAAGGGACATGATGAGGGATGGATGACGCTCTTGCCACCTCCAAACCTGGCACCAACCCTGTCTCCCCCAGGAGGGGCGTGGCCAAGCACAGAGCCACACTCTGCCTGCAACGAGGGCATCTGCTGAAGCCGGCCTAAGACACGGGCGGCCCTGTGTGGCGCCGTGCAGGCCAGGCTCCCGGAGCCACTGCTGGCCAGGACAGTGCTGGTCACTGAGTCCGCAAACAGCCCCCATCCCTTCGGTCCAAGGAAGACCCTGCCTCGGAAGGAGCCCCACCACCATGGCGTCAGGGGCACAGCCTCTTGGCATGGCTCCCAGTGGCCTTGAGGCCTGGCACCCTGCACCCAGGCCAAAGCCTGAGGACGGCCCTTCAGAGCAGGCCCTTCACAGAGGCCTGGGAGTCTGCACAGCTCCAGCCAGAGGCCGCCAGCCTGTCCTAGTTTCTACCCAGAGTTCCCTCCAAACAACAGCAGTGCCGGTGGGGTGGGGGGGGCAGGATGTCTGCAAAGGGACAGCTCAGAGCAATTCCAGGTACCATGTGAAGGACGATACAGAACCAGTCACCTCGGCACCCAAAGCTGATGGGCAGAGGCCAGCAAGGCGTCCTCAAGAGCCCGCTCACCCAGCCCAGGCCACCCACCCACCCACCTCACAGAAGCCCCAGGCCGCATCATTCCAAAGGCCCTGTTTCTTTGCCATCTGTGCCCAAGGTCCTACTGGAACCAGGAGATGCTACAGGGGTCCTCGGACCCAGGGCAGGCACACTTTCTTGCAGAGGCCCCGAGAGTAACTATCTTCGCCTTGGTGGGCCGGCCAGTCTCTGGGACAACCACTCACTCTGCTATCGTGGTGTGAGGGCAGCCAGAGGCAGCCGTCCCTGAAGGAGTGAGTGTGTCTATCTTTACAAAAATACATGGGGGACGGGATCTGACCAAGTTTGCTGACCACAGATCTCACCTGTTTCCTCAGCCCAGAGAGGTGGGGTGATTTGTCCCAGAATACACAGCGGACATGGATACTAGTGCACAGTCTCCTGCTTCTCAGTGCTGGCTCAGGGTGGCCAGAGCGGGGCCACAGCCTCACAGGGGCACCCAGAGCTGTCTGCTGCCCAGAACTGCAGCCCACTGCCCAGAGAAGAGCCTGTTCCACAGGGCTATTACTAATGCCAAAAACAGCACACTGTTATATGAAGAAAGTAGGATTTGGAGAATGTAAGTATCTTGCCTGGGTCACACAGTACCAAGCGGCAGCACTGGCCTAGGGAACCAGGTCGTCTGGCCCAGAGTCTGTTCTCTGGCCCACTGCACATACGGCCACACCTAAAAATTGGGGAGCAGGCAGTTTCAGTGCCTCTAGCCTTGGGGGGGTTGGCTAGGGTCCTGGAGTTACCCCGCTTGGCAGTAGGGGACCTCACACCCACAGAAAACGCTCACTGAGACCCAAGGCACTCCCTCTCAGCCCATCCCCCACGACCTGGAGTCACTCTCCCTGAAAACCTCCTGAACACTTTCAGGCTCTCAGCTTCGCCAGGGTCCCCATAACACTTAGCACCCCTTCTCTCCCACCCAGAGATGGTGGGGGATCGCTCCGCCCCCTGTGCAGCGCCTGGCATCTCACAGGTCCTGGACACGTGTCTGTCCCGCAAACTAGAGATGCGTGATCTTCGCCCTTCAGCCCCACCCACACAGAGGTGCGTCAGAGCTGAGACCTTAGAGGCACACACTCATTTTCCTCATTCCTGGGGATTCTTGCTACCCGCAGAAGGTCCAGCTAAACCCTCAGGGACCGCCCCTGAAGTCCGAGCTCTTCCCCCACTGGCCACGTCCTCCTGGTCCAGGGAGAGACGAGCGAAGCCCCTTCACTCATCTCTGCTCCTCATGGACCCAGAGCGGGAGGGACTCTGGGAAGCTGTCTGATTTCCTAAGTCTCCAGAACTATTTGAAACCAAGCTTTTGAGTCCAAAACTCAGTTTTTCCAAGTTTTCAGACTCGGATTTCTGTATTGAAAATGCCTCCTTTTCCTGTCTATTCCTTTCCCTCCCCCTGCCTCCATACAATGTACAACTTGTGGGCTCCCCTTCTTTCACTTGCTGGATGGGCACCTGGGACAGGCTACGGAACCTTTCTGGGACTCAGTCTTCTCATCTGTAAAATGGGAATGAGAATACCCACCTGCCCAGCCAGGATCAAGTGATAAGAGATGGGAAGTTACTCCTAATTCTTTCTTGCTGATTCCGATTAGCTGTTTACAAGCAGCCCTGCCACGGTTGCCTGCCTATGCCGCCGCTGGCCTGAGGCTGCCTCCCTCCACCCTCTCTGCCTTTCCCTCCTCTCCTCCAATCATGGAGCAGCTTCACCCAGAGGCAACAGGGTTGGGCGCTGGGGGGGGTGGGGTGGGTGGGGGGAGGGGGTGGGGCCAGGAAAGGTGCTTCAAGTGGAACATTCCTGGAGTCCAGACCCACTCCAAGTGGCTGATGGTGGCTGTGAGCAGCTGGCGGCCCCAGAGTGTCTTGGCCCCGCCAGGCTGGGGGCACTGTTGCCGTTTCACCCACACCCTAAAGTGCATTTTCTGCCTCCCAGAAGAGGCTCTTTGGCTGGAGAGAAGCGGCTCACCCACTCCGACTAAAGGAAGACATGTGGGTGGAGGAGAGGGAGAAAGTAAAGAGAACCCCGAGTCCCAGTCCAAGAACTCGGAAGTCGGAATGTCAGATTTTTTAGATTGGGCCACACGCCCCTCCCCTGGGCTGCGCCTGCACCCTGTCCCTACCCTGCTCGGCATCCTACCTCGTGCTGGAAGGTCTCTTAGCATCTCTATCCTCGCAGGCTGTCTCCCTTGTCTTTATACCTTCGGTGCCCAGGACAGAGCCTGGCACATGGTAGGTGCTCAGTAAATCCACATGGCACAGCACTGCCCTAAAGCCCCAGATGCCAGAGTGCACGCATCATCAAGATCTCAGAGCAGGAAGAATCTGAGGAGGGGTCATTTCTAGTCCAGTGTGTCTACCGTTCTGCCAAATCGGCCCCATCTAATCCTCCGGACAAACAGAACCCAGCCTGGATGCCCCGTTGCCCTTCCTCCCTGCAGCACTGGGTAGGTATTCTGGATGTCGGGCTCACGCCTTTCCCGCTACCAGCTTCTCCCTCTCCTTCCTCCATGGACCAGAGCCCCCAGGCCCCACGCCCGGTGAAGTCACTCTGCATTCAGATGTGTGCCCAGTGCAGTCTCATGGAAAGGGGCAGCCTTCACGTGCTGATCCAGTTATAGGGTCTCAGCTGTGCCCCGATGACTGTGTGCACCTCAGTCACTTAATATCCCTAAGCATCACCTCTTCTGTGAAACAGGGTTCCTAGCACCTTCTTCTGAGTGCTTCTGTGACTAGCAGACAAGATGTGACAATGACCCCACATGGTCCTGTCCCTGCCTGTTGAACCTCACTCTGCACCACACTCCCCCTTAAGTCTCCTTGTTCCAGCATCCAGCTCCCCTTTGCTCTTGGCCTCACTGACTCTGCAGTTCCTGGGGGAAAAAAATGCTACTGACTCCCGCCCCAGGGCCTTTGCACGTGTCCTTTTCCTCTGTGTAGAATGCTGTCCTCCCATGCCAGTTCCACCAAGTTAATGTCACTCACTGTCATAACTCACTTCTTCAGCCAAGATCAGGGTCTTTACCATAAGGTCCAAAAAAACTGCATCCCTTCCCTTCAGAGCCCTTATCTCACTATGCAATTCTGAGTGATCATTTAATTCTGACTCCTGTTCGTGCTCCATGAGATTCGGAACCATGGACCTGCTTAACATTACATCCCCAGGGCCTGGCCCAGATCCTGTCACACGGGAGGTACACAGAACATGTATCAACCAAGTGATCAACGAATGAGAGCACAGGGTAATATATAGCATTTAGCAGGGTGCCTTGAACAGGGCAGAGTTTCCTAAAGTTTTCTTTTCCCCTGGCTGAGGAATTCCACCTCTGACCATTTTTCCTCACAGGCATTTTTTTATTTTTATTTTCCATCAAAGTGTCAGCAGGGAAAGAAAGCAGAGCTTCAGAGGGTCAGCAAAGAATGTGCTTTAGTCTAACTAGGGGGTAGCACATGAGTCAGGGAAAATGAAACGGGCTTCCCACAGTCTACTCCCTGCCCCCAACACGCCCCGCTCCCCAGGCCACAACAGCAATTCCGACCCCCACGCTGGAATCCCAGGGCACGGTGCCTGGGTGCAGGAGGAGGGCTTTGAACCAGCCTCCTGACTAGGAGAAAGGGGATAATTCCAGTCCCAGCCCCGCAGCTCCCTAACTGACCCTGGGCAGATGCCCCCACCCTCACCCTCCAACCATGACCTCAGTGCCACAGCTGCGAAAAGGGTGGGCGTGGCGGAGCTGATCCCTCAGGACCTGCCCCTCCTAACTGCAGCTGGAGGCCAGCAGATGGGAGGACTCGGGGCGGGGAGGCTAAGAGACAAGCTCGCCCCAGCTCAGGCCTGAGGGTGCTCACTCCTCTCAAGTGTCACCCCAAAGTGGGAAACAGCCAGGGCCTGTTGGCCTGTGGGACAATCTACCTCTGACCTTCCCCCTGGGGAGAGTTTGAGGTCCCACCCGTCTGATGAAGTCAGCAACCGCGGGAAGAGTGTGGGTGGGCGTCTGAGAGACACGAACAAACACTGGCTCCAGGCCCCAGCTTATTCCAGACTCCCGTCCCAGCGTCCCTGCCCTGTCGGGAGCCAGCAGCCAGGAGCAAGCAGCCACTCACCCTGTTCTGGGATCGGTTGCTGGGGATGCCTCGTCCTGCCACCCCCAGGCAGCCTGGTGTGGTCGCCTGAACTCCGGCTGGAAGCGGGCAAAGCTTTATGGAAGCTCCAGCCACCTTGCCGGGGGGGTGGCAGATTCGGAGTGGCACAGCCCATGCCCGCTTTGGGGGTAGAATATCAAAATGGTAAGTGCAAAGGAAAGCAGAAGCAAACTTAAGAAAACCAGCTGGAGTCTTTAGGAAACCAGGCCACAGGGACCTAGGGTCCAGGTGGGAAGTCAAAACAGCTAACGTGGCAGAGCCGGAAGGTGTCTCGATGCCACCTCCTCTAAGCCCTGGTGGAGATGGCCTGCACCGTCACGGCAGTGCCACAAAGCCACACAGGCCGCCCAAGCTAGTTCCCCCGTCGTTTCACCTGCTGCTGAGTCATCACTTGAACCCTGTTCCTAATAAGTCAAAGGCTTTCAACCAGATTTCGTCTCCTTCCCACTTTCCTGTGTACAATGTAGTCCGTCTAAATTAGGGGTTAAGCTGAGATGCAGACACACTAACTCCTTGGAACTGTCAAAATTACATGCACGGTGCCCAGGTGCACAGGGGTGGGTCCACAGCCTAGCCCCAAAGACACTGAAGTTCCAGAAAAACAGGCCTTCTACCATCTGTGTTGATAAGAGGTCAACTCACGGCTCTGGGACAGTGGTTCCGACAGAGCTGACTATCCCCCAGGGGACGTCTGCAACGCTGGAGACCTTTTCATTGTCACGAGTAGGTGGGTGCTACCGGCGCATAGCAGGCAGAGGCCAGAGACGCCTCTGCACACCCTGCCAGGCACAGGGCAGCCCCTACACCCGCGTGGTCCGGGCCCCAGCGTCAGCAGTGCCAAGGTTGAAAACCCTGAGCTCCCCACGTGGAGTGCACCCAGGAAATGGAATGATGGGCCCCTGCCCTCCGTGTGGGTCCCCTTGCCTCTGGAGGGGCTGGCTCACCCCAGGTGGGCTGGCAGGGATGCCGCCAGGGTGGCAGCGACTGGAGGGGTGTTTTGTCAGCAAGGTGGCATCACATTGGCACCCGGACGCTGGCTGTGCCTGAATCGAGCTCTGAGCTCCTCAGTCAGGACTCAGGCAGCTTCTGAGGTGACAGGTCATCACCAAGGGAGGGAGACCGGGAGGCCATGTGCCTGGTCACTAGAGACCCGGTCCACGAAGAGAGCCGCCCCCCAACCGATCAAGCTCCAAGTGAAAAGCCATTCCCAGGCCCGGACAGCCGAAGCGCCACACAGCAGGCCAGCACTTACCTTGCGACAGCTCTGTCACCTCCTTCCCCTCATCCTCCTCTGAGGGAAGATGAGAAGAGGGGTGGGGAGCAGAGAGGCAGGTGATGAAAAGGAGAGGGAGAGCAAAAAGGAAAGAGAGGTCAGTTAACAGAGATTATTTCTTGAGAGAGAATTTGCTGAGAAAAGGGAAGTGGGAAAGCAGAGGTGAGGCCAGGGCAGAGGTGACTGTTCACAGAAGTGCCCCAAGGTGAGGGTAAGGTCCACACTGACAGGACCTGGGTTCCAGGGCAGCAAGGCCAGGTGCCCAAGTAAAAAGGGCCTGGCTCTCAGGAGCAGCAGGCCCTGCCCCCAGGGCTCCGAGGCCAAGCTGTGCGGGTCCCTGCCACAGCCCCTGCCCCAGGGCTTTCCCAGGCTGCGTCTCAAACAGGCGTGAGCAGGCCCAGTGAGAGGAGCCCACCACTGCCTCCTTCTCCCGGTGACTCAGTGTCCCTGGCCATGCAGACACCTCCTGGGTGGGAGGCTGTGTCCGGACGTGTGTCCTTGTGGGTCACACATGCATGCCACTGCATTCCTACCTGGCAGGATCAGCCTTCTGGTGACTAAAGAAAAGAAGCCAAGTTTGCCCCCAGAGCCCCAGCCTAGCCCTAAAACCAGAGTCTAGGGAACAAGTTTCTGTACTTAGCCTGCTTGAAATGGCCACTAAGGGCCCAGGGGCCCCCATTTTCTCCTTCCTCCAAAGGAAAGAGAGGAGCTCGAAAATGTGACGAGGAAGTAGGAGGTGTGAACTGGAAGCAAGTGTGTGGGGGCCTGTCTGCATGCGTGTGCATACGTGTGCACACACACCCAAGTATCTGAACACTGAGGCACGGGGGAGCCCGGCTCTGGCCAAGAGCTGACCCTCTCTAAGAAACTGAGGCCAGGCCTCCAAATCCCCAAGTCAGAGGACACTGGGAGCAGCACTGGCCCCACAGGTCAGCGGGCAGGAAGGCTGCAAAGTGACCCATCCCCTCAGCCCCCAACCTGAGCACGGGCCCTGACCCAGGCTGCCGTCTTGTTGCCAGGAAGGTCTGGAGAACCCACCACCTCTGGTCCTGCCCAGGACCACAGGGGTCCTCCGACCCCCACTCCTCTATCTGGCCTCCCCCGCTGCCTCCCTTCCAGCAGAGTCACTTACCCCCCGTGGGGTGCAGCAGGATATCCGCTGGGTTGTGGGGTTTCAGGCCCAGAGCAGAGAGAGGAGTCTTGGCCAGACCTGGAGGGGAGCGCACTGTGCCAGAACGAAGAGAGGAGACATGGTCAGTGAGTCTCAGGTCATGGGGGCAGGGGCAGGTGCGGGGGAGAGGAGGAGGGGCAGGAGGGAGAGCACCCATAAGTGAGGGCTTGCTGGGGAGGGCTGGGCCGCAGGAGAAGGAGCAGAGGAACCAGCGCTGCCGCGCTCCACTGCCCTTTCCCGTGGGGTGGGGGAGGATCTGCACAGTTTAAAGGGTGAGGTGAGTCAGGAAGTGGTGTCCTTGTGCAGGCCCCGCCCCTCAGCCATGAGAAAGTCCTTTCTTTCCCTGGGCCCCTAGTTTCTTCAGCACAGTCCCTTTACGTGCCATACATGCAGGGGGCTTTTTGGCCATCTCGGTTTTCCCATATATTATTCTCTCTCTCTTCCTCCTCTCTCCCATTCCTCCCTCCCCCCACACATAGAGTCTTTCTAAAGCAGGCACTTAGATGGACTGAGGGGAGAACAAAAGAAAACGGGGCATCCAGAGAGCGCATCCTGGAAAGGACAGATGGAGGAGAAGGGATCACCATGACAGCCTGCAGCCAAAGGGCTCGCCCCTTGCAAACCTCAGCAAGAGAGAATTTCTTGGCCTGGGGCTCTCTGTACCCCCCGAACCTCAGTGCTCTAGCTGAGGTAAGAAGTCCAGTCTCCATGATCCTTGGGCAAGAGAACCAACTCCCTGCACAAACCCCAGGTCCCTTCCAAGCCACCTGTCCAGGTTAGAAGAGTCACATAACACACAAGGTCAGAAAGGGCTGTCAGGCTTTGTCCCACCAGCCAAAGAAGAGGCCGGACTCTGAGCCGATCCACGGGGAGATGATTACACCCAGTCACGAGATTTCTCAATGGCACCTGCCACATAGCCTCACAGAGCTCCAAGGAGAAGTACGAAAAACAAGCTCTGTGTCTCCTATCGCGGCCATCAGGGGCCTGCAGGGGCCATGGCTGCTGAGGACACTCAGCCGCGCAGCTCCGCCAGGGCCCAGGGCTGCCTGCCCCACACCAGCAGCCCCAACAGACCAGCTGTGGCCCTCGGTTGTCCAGAAACCCCACGCAGCCCCTCTGGGACCCTCCCTGGCCCCGTCTCCCTTCCCCCAAAGACAGTGAGACCTACAGAAAACCAACTAAAAATACAATCTCTCAAAGCAAGCAACCTAGGTAACTTATTGTATACGTAGGTATCTGTGAAAGGAGTGAGACTCACAGGGTCCAGTGGGGAGCCCACTCCTGCACACCATCCCACTCTGTCCTTGGAGGCCCGACACACAAACACAGCAGAGGGGCAGCTATGTACAAACACACATGTCCAGGCACGGGGCAGGCCTAGGCCTGCATGTCTGTCTGTCCCTCCTTCTCCCTTTACATACACACACAGAGGTGTCTTGCAATGAACACTTATCAAGCACTTATTCATGTTTCACATGAATGAATTTCAATGTCATTACTATGGAAGAATGAGCCCAGCCTCAGAGGCCACAGCCCATGGCACGACCGCGAGGTGGGAGGTTTTTCTGGGTTCCCCTCGCACACGCCCAGCTCCCTGCTTGCTCATGCCCCCAGTGCCCAGGATCCGTCCCTTCTCTGAGGCCAACGAGTGGGTGACCCTAAAGCCAGGCACAGCTCTTGCTTCTGGGAGAATTCCTCACATTTCTCCGCCTCTGTCCTCCCTCCCAGCCACGTGCATGGATGAAACCTCTGACTTTTTCCCCAGCCCCCACCCCCAGGCCACTGAGGGCTGAGCAAGGGGAGAAAGAGAAGGATGGGAACAGGAACAAGAGGCAAAAGCCAAAGCCCAGCCCACATGGCTTCTGTCCCGAACAGGGAAATGGCCAACATCTTGGCTGCTTAGACCGACAAGGAACCAGAGTAGGTGTGAAGGTGAAGGGTAAGACCAGGGAGACAGATTCCATGGAGTCATGAAAGGCCACAGGGCTGTCTCCTGAGCAGATTGCCTGGGGCTTGTGCCCTCCAGTGTGGCAGCCACGAGCCACTCAGGGCTCAGGTCCAGTGTGGCAGCCACCAGCCACTCAGGGCTACAGAGAATGCGCGAGGTGGCCATTCTGAACCAAGAGCTGTGACACACAGAGATTTCAAAGACTTGATATGAAACAAGAATGCAGAATATCTCAATATGTGGTTACACATTGAAACGATAACATTTTAGATCTTTGGGGTTAAATAAAACCTATTATTACAAATAGTTTCACTGGTTTCTTCCCACATTTTTTGAAAGATTGAAAAATATCTCATTGATATTTTTATATGGATTTACTTATTGAAATAATAGCTTGGATATTTTGGGTTAAATAAAAAAGATCGTTAAATTTAATTTCTCCGGTTTCCTGTTATTTTTTAAATGTGGCTATTAAAAATGTTTAATAACACACATGGCTCGTGTTACATTTCCATTGGACAGCACAGATTCAGGGGCAGCCATGGCCTCCGGTCACAACATCAGCCTCTCGAGTGCCCAACATGGCAGCCAACACGAGTTCTGCTGCTGCAAAGGCCGGGTCTGGTGCTATATTCCTCTTTCCCCAGAGCAGTCAGCCAGCAGGAGAGTGCACAGGCAGCTCCAGCTCTCCTCCTCACACTCCTCCCCTCACCAGGCAGATGCATACAGAGCTAGGGCCTGGCCCAGCCAACCCAATGCCAGAGCAACACCAGTCTCTCCCTCCTTTGCCAACCCATGCCTCTCATGGAGACTCTGAGTCCTTCGCAGACTATCGGTCCTTCACTGCTTTCCCACAAAGGGCTTCTCCAAGCTCCTCTGCATGGTCTCTTCTACCGTAAGAAGGAACCCTGTCCCACTCCTGTGCTCATCTGAGTCTTCTCTCTGGGGGGAAATACCTGTGCCTTTGGAGGAGCTGCCTCTCCAGTGAGTGTAGCAGGGGTATATAGACTGAATGTTCCTGCCTGCAGGCCAGGGATGGGTGGCATGGGGACTCAGCCAGCCCGAGTATGCGGGCCTTTCTTTCCTTGATAGAAACTAGTTGAGGTGTCTGGATGCACCCAGAAATGGGCATTAGAAGCAAGAAGGTCAAAGAGTGACAGAAGCAAGTCACAAAGAGTCACATCAGGGTAGAGGGTTTTGTACACAGGATGCAAAGACTCTCAACAACTCGGAAAACTGCACACCATGAGAGCCCAGGGGCCCCGGATCACTCAGTGGGGTCCTTAGACTGTGTTGCTGCATCCTCAGATTTGGCGTAGACAACAGAAGAGAAATGCAGGATGGAAAGTGAAGTGGAATGAGCCACAGGATGATAGGGACAGACTGTGGCTCTGCCCAACTTGGCCAGCACCCCCCACCCCAAAGTCCAGATGCTTACACAGGCCAAGGGTTGAGATAGGGGCCTAAGGGGACCCAAAGGAGACGGACTTAGAGGGGAGCTCTTACCTGCACTGGGCGGTGGGCTAGTTGGAGAGGTCCCTTCTATCTCCTCAAAGGCCTCCTTGTAGCTATGAAGATGGGGCTGCAAAAGGAAAAGGGGGCACACTGGTGATCATAACCTTGAGAAGAAGGCGTTTCCCACTAACCAGCCCACAAAGCCCCTCACCAACCTGACCACCTGCCCATGCCCAGGCGAACACAGAGGTCAAAGGCAGCTGCTACCCATTCATGGCCCCAACAACTCCTTGTAGTCAAGAGAATGGAAAGTGGCTGTTTTGCAAAACCATTTTTAAGGCACAGGTGGAATTCAGGAGCACCTGCCTTGGAAATATTTCAGAACAAGGCCAAAGAGAAGGGTCCTGGGCCAGGGAACTCAGGGCCTAGCAGAAGGCAGAAGGGAAAAGGTGTCTAAAATCATTCCTGTCCACAACGATTCGACCTGGATTTTATCAGGCACAGTCTGCTCACATCAGAATGTTCCAGAGTGCATGTTTGGAATGCAGATCCCGAGGCCCACCCCAAGGCTAAGGTGCTGGAATCTCTGGAGGCAGCTTTAGTAATCACACTTTAGCAGACCCTCGGTGACTACAGATACGCTGAAATTTAAGACCTACTGCCTCAAACCACTGCGATGTCTCAGAAATGCAAATATTATGGCACGGAAATCAGATCTTTGGAGAAAATCTTGTATCTAGAAAGGGCTCAAAAACACTGTGTCAGCCCTGGCTGGTGTGGCTCAGTGGGCTGAGCACTGTCCTGTGAACCAAAGCATCACCAGTTTAATACCCAGTCAGGGCACATGCCTGGGTTTCGGGCCAGGTCCCCAGTAGGGGGTACGTAAGAGGCAACCCCATATGGATGTTTCTTTCCCACCCTATTCTCCCTCCTTTCCCCTATCTAGAAAAGATATATATAAAATCTTATAAAACAAAACCAAATCACTATGTCAGACTATACGTCTGGTGTGAAGTTTATAGGCCACGGTCCCCTATGTCGTGCTCAGGGTTCTTACCACCCTGCTCAGGGGCACTCTTTAGGTGTCAAGAGAGGAACTCAGTCTGAGTGTTAATGGAAGATGTGAGGACATAAAAGCAATTTAGGGAAGGAAATGAGCTCCAGATTCCACACGCCAAAGCCCTAGGTGAGAGGCAGAGAGGAAAAGTTACTGGGCTTAACAGAAAAATGGACTGGTCAGTGCCAGCCAGCTGGCCGTCATGTTCCTGGGGCATTCAGGTGGGCTCTGCTACCTTCTATGGCCCCAGAATGTGGCCTGGGGACTCACCTCTTTGGGCCGCCCTCCAGGATTGAGAGCGATGGTGAGAGCCAGCTCTGGGGACACACACTGCACAGGGGACCGAACCCCGGGGCTCCGGGGGGATGAGGGCTCCGGAGACTGGTTCTCGTACTGTCCATCGCTGGCCGCCCGCCTCCGGAGAGGGGCTGGGGGCTCTGCAGGCTGCTTCTCCCGAGCCTGCACCCCTGGGAGGAACGGCAGGGCAGAGAGGGCCGTGAGTATGTTGTATGACCAAGGATCCATCAGGCCTCATTCCCCCAGAGAGGACGGCGTAAGCCGAAAGGCCATGCTGACCCTGGGCCCGTCTCCCCTCTGCACCGCCCCCTGCCAACTTCTGCCCACATCCTGGGTTTCTGTGTAGGGTGGGGGCCTTGCTTAGGCTGGGCTGGCCTTCACCAGGAATCTACTGCACGCAGGGTTGGGGCCCAGAGCACAAAGGACTGATACAAGAAACAGATGTCAACTCCTTCCAAGGCCTGGAGGCAGAGGGCCAGAGCTTCCAGGCAAATGAGGGAAGGTGGAGGGAGGAGAGACAGTCTCCAAGGCGACTGATCAACCAACAAGCAACATCAGGCCCGTGGGGAAGAACTTTTGGAAAGAGAAAATAATGCATCATCTTGCAAATGGTGCTCCCCAGAAGGAACGAAGGAATGACTAAGTCTTGTTATAAAGTCCCCAGACCCAACTGGCCCCTGGAATCTTGCTGACCTTCTCTGGGGTTCCCCAACTGTACCCAGTGCACCTCCGAAACCTCTTAGTAACTTCCCTCATGCCAGCCCTTAGCTACCCACCCCTTCCTTGCCCCAGAGATGGTCCAGGTTCACACCCTGCCCCTCCCAGCAGAACAGCAGGCAAAGTGCTGGAATCATGTGTTCCATCTGCTTTTCTGTACTTCCTCCCATTCCACAGGCCTGGGGATGTTGTTAACCCCACCCTCCTTCCTTCCCACCCCCTCTTCCCACAGTTGGGCTGAAGCACGGAACCATTGCCTCACTGAGCTGGCTCCAGAATCCTAGAAAACCTACCCCCACCTTTCCCCTCCCTGCAGGGCCCAGAGGCCAGGACCAGCCTGAGGGCAGGCTCCTGGTCCTGATTATCTCCCACCAGGGGGTTCTCAGCCCTGCCTTCACCACCACTCAAGAGCAGGTCGGGCAAGGGGAGGCGCTGGGACTTACCACAGGTTATGTGGGACCGAGACCCTGGTCACACGAGCTGCATGTCAGCACACTTGGGAACACTGCCCCATGGCACACATGTACACACATATACACATACATGCATACAAGCACACGCTGCTGGCCCCTAGGAATGCACCAAGCAGAAATTGCCCTCATTCAGACGGTCCAGAGCGGGGTCTGCACACCACAGGCGGCCCCCCAGCTCCCGTCTGGCACAGCCGCTAGGGTTGCCATGAGAAGCACATGCTGGGAAGCCTTCCTACTTGTCATGAAGAGTAGGCTCCCGGCTGCCAAGTCCAGGGACAGGCACACACACAGGCACTCCGGGACGCGCACTCGTACTGCCCCACGGTTAGAGGCTCTGTGTGGGGGGCTGGAGAGCCGCCGGTGGAGCACTCCCACTGACAAAGGCCGGAGGTGCCGGCAGTGTTCAGAGTCTCCACCTGGAGCTCTGTGTCGTTAGGAGGCAGCCCGCCTGCCATCGCAGCTGGGGGAAAAGGGCCCGACTATAAACCAGACTCACAAACGGTTTTACTTAAAGCAAACAAGCCCCTCGCTTTGAAGTACCCTGACTTTCAGAATAGAAAATGGGGGTCGCATTGTTCTAACCAGGGGACAGATGAAAGAAGGGGTGCGTCTCTGAAAGTCCTGAGCAGTGCACAGGGACCCTACAACCACCCCATGCCCTGGCCCTTAGAGAAGCCGCCTGCGGGCGCCCCCGCCCTGGGCCACATCTCTCCCTCCCCCACCACACCCCCTGCCCCTCAGCCCTCCTGCGCAGCTTGGTCCAGAACTATCGCTGGTTTCATTCCTGGCAGAAACATTAGAGAGAAACAGACATAGCCATTGATTTTCTAATAATAATTGTGACAAAGGAGGCCCGTTCAGGAAAGGCTCTTGGGGTTTGGAACTAAGTTCAGCCCCAAGGTTAACAGAAATGCATTAGGGCTGGTTTTCAGTTCCGCTGGCCCAGCCCCGCAGCCTCTTCCTGGCAGATGCCTGTGCCTTGGTGAGGGGTGGCCAGCCTCCCTGCGTGCGATCTGTTGTCTGCCCTCGAAAGGGGGTCTGTTTCAACTTGAGGCCGAATCTCACAGAGGGACAAAGAACGTCCCGCCAGTGTGCCCAGCACACCCTCCACACCCAGTGCCACCACGCCCGGAGGCAGCGCCGGCCTGCCAGAGGGGCACCCTGACTGTGGAGGACCTCTGAGAGCCGTCTCGCCTCTCCAAGTCTCCTCCCCGTGGCCACCAGACCGGCGCATGGGAGCGTGCTCGCTCCGGAGGCAGGGGAAGGCCAGAATGACCTCCCAAGAGCTAGGGCGCTGCAGGGGCGCCTCCATCTGCAGAAGGCGGAAGACCCCACGTCCCACTCCCATGGGACAGCCCCTCCCCCGCAGAGTGCCCATGGCACCCGTGACCAGCCGGGGCCTCTTACATTCTTTGAACACAGTGTCTCACTGTTGTCCCCCTTGGCAGGCCCACATCTGCCCCTCAGCGCCTGGAGAGCCACGTCCCCTCTCTCTTGTCCTTCCCTACAGGAAGGGAGACGAAGCAGGGCAGGGGGAGAGAAGAGAGCCCCATTGTTCCTCAGCCAAGCTGGGCCTTCTGGACACAGGCTGACAGCCAGTGTCAGAGAGAGAACCCCCTCCCTCCCATCCTGGAGACGGACCAATAATAAAAATAGGCCTGCCCCCCCCACTGCCCTCCTCCCCTCCACCACCCTGGACCCGGGGCCTTTCTCAGCCTCGAGGCCCATTCTCTCTCTCAGCGCCACTGTCCCTGTGCGCTCTACCCACCCTGTGCTCAGAGGCACGGCACACACATGCACTTGCACACACATGTGCACACTGCCTTCACCCACGGGGAACAGCAGGAGGTCAGCATCACCCTCGGCACCCCGCCCTGTGGTCAGCCCCTTCCCCAGCACAGCCAGAGGAAGCTCATGAAGAAAGCAGGAGGGAGGCCGTGGCCGGGCCCTGGAAGGCCTTCCCAGCCAGGCCGGTGAGCAGCCCCAGCAGCAGGAGCACTGGGATGCCCTGGTGGCAATGAAGTGTTCCCTAGGACAATAACGTGCTACACTCAGGAGCCCTCCATCGTCCTCGTGGTCCCACAGTGCTCACACACTGGGCACTGGGCGTCCCCACTACCTGCGGGACGATGGTCACCTCAGCCCAGGGCCTCCACACGAGCCGCCAGACCTGAAGAACAGGGTGCCGGTACAACACCCTCTGCCAGGGGTCCTCATTCCGCTCCCCAGTAGTGCTGTGCTTGGGGAAGCAGCTGGCTCCAAGGCGCCCTCCTAAAGCAGGCCAGACCTGAAGCATTAAATCCACTTCCTCTAACACACTCACACATATCTGCTCACACACTTACACACAATGCAGTTCTGGGGGCTGAAGCCCTAATACCATCAATACACACACTCACGGCCCCAAACACCCCTGGATCCCGTGGAAAAATACCAGTGTCAGGCTTCATCACGGGCCTGCCCTATAACCCAAGCCTGGCCGCTTCCACCCCCACAGACCCAGCTCTTCCTTCCAGCCTTCCGATTTCCAGAAGAGCGGGTTCCTCAGCTCCAGGTGGCGGGGCCGGTGTCCAACAGCATGCCGGGGGCTCCGGAAGTGAGGGGGTCCGGGAGGCCACCTGCTGGGCCAGGGCACCAGAAAGCCACGCGGCGATCACACTAGCAGCCCCAGGGCAAGCCATGCCAGCTCCCCTCAGGACAGGCCCACCAACCCAGAACTGCTCCAAACCCCAGGTTCGTTTGAACACTGCACTCCCCACCACTGGGCCGAGAAAGAGGGGTGGGGGAGGAGAGGAGGCAGACAGGGGCATTCTGCTAGAGCCATCTCCCCATTATCCATGGACTGGGAGAAGGAGGGTCCAGGAAATACCAGATATTGCCACTGGGAGTCAACTGCTCCCACCACCCCCGATACGCCTTCCCCAGAACCGACCAAGGCCATGGCGTGGGGCAAGCCTGGGCACCACCTTCTCCCTGACCTGGGCTTCCAGGCCCCAGGGAGCAGGGGAAGGGTGAGGAGACTCAGTCCCTAGATCTAAAAACCTATAGGCCCATTTGTCCAAGAGACCGGGGTATACGTAGTGAACTACATCACCCTCAAATAAAGCAACATGATCCTTGATGAAGGGTCCACCATGTTGGGGCACATCAAGCCACCATACAAAACATACAGCAGGGCTACAATCCCTCCATTTTTCACATTGGGAAATTGAGCTCTGAGTAATGAAGAGACTTGGCCAGGGTCACAGAGGTGGTCACAGTCAGACCCAGGACCATACTCAGGGCTTTTGACTCTTGGCCATGGGTCCTGGGATCAGAGATTCAGAATGAGCTCACAGGGGGTGCTCTGTCCCCAAAGAGTGCTGTGCTCAGGAGTAGACAGAGCAGCAGGAGCCGGGGCACCATTCTTTGTCTTATGCCCAGTGGCCCATGCAAAGCACAGCCTGGCGCAGGCTGAGGCCCTGGCCCAGCATCCCGGGTACTGCAGCCAGGGTGGCCGGAGTGCTGGGCTGTCCTGTCCAGCATCCCAGGTCCTGCAAGGGCCTATGTGTCCACGGGGAACCTGAAAGTTAGTCTAGTTACCCCAGACTCTGTTCCCAGCAGGCAAGGCCAAGGCCAAGGCCAGAAGCATCAGGTCTGTGTCCATGCAGAAGTGGGAGCACTCGTTCATGCAGAAGGAGGGAGGAGGGAGAAGTGGGCAAGGAGAGAGGGGAGGTGGTAAGAAAAGGAAAGAGGGGCAACAGCGAATATGAAGGAGATGGGAAGGAGAGAAGAGAAGAAGGAAGAGAAAAAAGTGAGGAGGAAATAGAAAAAATAAGGAGAGGGGAAAGTGGACAAAAGTTTAGAAAAAGGAGCACATGAAGAAGGAGGGGGAGAGAGAAACTGAAAGTTAAGATGAGGGCCAAGGAGTTCTGAAGGGGGAAGGGGAGGAGAGGAACCAACCAGAGTGGGAGGAAGATCGGAGCCGGTGGAGAGGAGGGTGCCAACAGCTGCTCTGCCCAATGCCCTGCAGTCTGGCGTTGTACGCTGCCCACACCACCCAGGGGGAGCCGGCAGGGAGGGGAGGCAAGCAGGAAGGGAAGGGATGACACCAGACAAGGAAGGCACCACACCCACGGCACAGGGAACAGAGGGACGTGGGACACACGAAAAACGCAAGGGACGAGCCATTAAACAAGACGAAACAAAACAAAAACAAAGAGAAAATCAGGATTAGTTGGTATTCCGAGTCTGGGGTCTGGCCACACACTGGAGGGAGGGTATCAGACAGAAGAGGGGCAGGATCCAGGTTCTTGCTCCTCCACAGGGCAGGCAGACCTCCTCCTGTCCAGCAGGACACTGTGTCCCTCTGATTTCTCACCCCAGCGCGGGGCTAGGAGACTTCAGTCCTGTTGCCTGACAGGTCACCTGCTCCTGGCAGTCAGCATGGCCCCATCCTGGGTCCTCTTCTCCTGTCATTGTCACCTGCCTCTTCCTGGCTTCAGTTGTGACCCTGTCATTCTTGAGCCCAAGGGTCCTACTCCTTAGTGAGGGAGATCCCAACCTCTCTCAGCCCTTGTTCTTCCTTTCCACCTACCATGGAAACGTCTTCTGCAGCAGCCACTCACAACATTCTGCTGCTGCCCAAAGCTGCTGGGCACCACTGAAAAGTCCTTAAAATGAGCCTGCCTGGATGTACCTGAAGGGCCTCCTATGGCATCCTTTATTCACCCTAGCTGACTCCCAAGCCACCTTCCCACCCAGGGCCTCCCAGTGACCAACATCGCCCCGCCCTGGCTTCCAGGCAACAACGACCTTCAGCTTCCCTCCAGGCTGCACAAGCTGGCCCACACCAGTGCCTCTGCTGCTTCCTCCCACGTCTCTTACAGTGGAATGTGTGAGGCTCAGGGACGCACACCTGGGGCCTCTCCTCTGCCTGCACTCATGTGACAGCCACACACTGACTCCTGTCACACTGCTAAGCTCCCTCCTCTCCCCCTGGGACTCCTGACTCCTCTGTCCCACCAGCGTGAATGTTTCATGGGCATCTCAAATCTAACATGGCCAAAACCACACTTCTGATATCCCCTCTAACCCGGCTCTTCCTACATTTGTACCCATCCCAACACAGAGCAACTCCATCTGTTAGGTGCTCAGGGCCAAAGACCTTGACTTTTCTTTCTCTCATATCCCATTTCTGGTATGTCTATACATCTTGATGGTTCCACCTCCAAAATACGTCTACAGGCTGAGCACTTCTCCCCATCACCATAGATGCTGTCTTGATCAATATCAACAGCCTCCTAACTGGTCTTTCTTCTTCCTTCCAGGCCAAGGAAGGAAGAAGAATACTGATACTGATACTTTCAGAACAAGTCAGATGAAGTCTTTGGCCCAAATCCTCCTTAAGGCTTCTCAGACCACACTGAGTCAAAGCCAGAGTTTTTATGATCACCCACCAGGCCCACGTAAGCTGGCCCCCATTCCCATCACGTCTCTGACTTCGTGTCCCACTACACTCCCCATACAGGCATACTCCTGCCTCAGGGCCTTTGCACTTGCTGTCCCCACCTGGTACATTCCCTCACTACTCTGAGAAGCTGTCCCTGACCATCCTATATAAAGTGCAATCACCCACCCATCCTCTCCCTACCACTGGCACTTCACTGCTTTAGTTCTATGGCACTTATCACCCATCTGACATATCATATATGTATTTGCTTATTTGTTTATTGTCCACCTGCACCATAAAGGCAAAGATTTTACTTTCTTTGTTTACCACTGTTTTTTCAGAGCCTAGATTAGCACATAGCACAGTTTAGAGGCTCGTGTTGAATTAATGATCAAATGGGCCTTGGTCTCATCTCCTACTTCCATGATGAAATATGAAAATAGGGTTGTCAATTCAAGCTCCCAATGCTGAGCACCAGTACCTCCCTATATCTGTATCTATCTTTTATTATATCAGGAAGAGGTCGCTTACCTCCTGGCAAAACCTAAATTCTCCACCTGGGCTCCTAAGCCTGCCCTCTCTTACTTTTTTAGAGACCTTATTCTATCAATTCCTTTCTCTTTCTTAAACCTTTTTCTTCTCCCTCTACCCTCCTTATTTAACTTCTCTCTCTTCTCTACAAACATTGTTATGGTTCCTATATTTACAAAAAGAAAGCTCTCAATACCCTGCTGGCCTCTTTAGCTACCACCTTCTCTCCTTTTATCACAAAACCACTCAAAAGAGTAGTTGACATGCTGTCCTCACTCCCTCTGCACTCACTCCTCAATCCCTCAGCCTGGCTTCCATCGCCAGCACTCTCCTGAAAATATGCCTTTGAAGATCACTGGGGTCGCCTGATTGGCAAGCCCAATGCATTGTTCTCAACCTTCCTCCTCATGACCTCTCCACAGGGACACACGGCTGACCCCTCACTCTTCCTCCTGGAAACCCTTTACTGTGCTGACCTCTGCGATGACCCACAATCCCTGTCTCCTCTCACCACCCTGACCATCCCATCTGGGTCCCTGTATGGCCTCCATTCCCCTCATGGTCATTTTACTCAATGTTCTTTTCTTTCCACACCCTCTGACGTAGACACATCCATACCCACAGCTTTAAACTTCACCACTATAAGAATGACTCCAAAATCCATAGCTTTTTCTATTCTTGCAAACTCAGGTTCTGGATATTCAACTGCCTTCCTTATATCTCTACCTGGAGGCTCCACCATCACCTCAAACTCAGCAAACCCTGAGGTCTTCATCTTACACCAAATTTGCTCTTCCTCCTAACCCCTGGCATATTAATAGAACCATTAGTGTATTTCTTCTGTTCATCGAACCTCAGAGTCACCTTTGATGTCACCCTCTCCCTCGACCACTCCACCCAATTTGTAAACTCCCACGAGTTGCACAGACTCCTTAGCCACCACCTCCTTTTTTCATTTCCATGGTCAGTATCCTAATCTAGTCCCCATACCAAAGCTATCTAATAAGCTCCTAAATCTCTGCCATTTTGCATCCTTCCTGCCCAGACCCACCAGGTACATCTTCCTAAACTACAGCTCTGATCATGGCATACTCTCCTGACTAAAATACAGCTTTCTACATTGCCATTAGGTAAGATTCAAGCTTTTTAGTCCAGTACTTCAGACCAACCAGAGGCAGGGCCCAGGCTACCATTCTTGACGCTCCCACACAGCCTATATGCTCTCAGTCTACTCTGTTCTTCAAACATTTCCCATGCTCTTCTGCCTTCACTACAAACCCTCTCTCTCCAATGACCCCATTCACTTTCAAAAGCCTACCCATTGTCCAAGGCTCTGTTTAAAACCTATACTCAACACAGAGCCTTTACAATCTCTCTTGCTGATAGTGTTATCTCCTTTTTCCTCATTCCCACAGAACTTTCTCCATGCCTCCCTTATTACAAATGACTTCATTTTAAAGTCCCAGTTCTTTTTTTCCCTTACTAAACTCTAGACCCCTTAAGGATAAGATCCACATCTTATTTCCAACATGAATTGAAATCTCCACCTCTATAGACATTTGAGATTCACACCAGTCACAGAATCAGGATCATAAGATAACTTGATTGGACTCACCAACTCTGACTCTTATTTTCCTTTTCTTGTCTTATTGCACTGGCTAGGACATCCAATACAATGCTGAATGATAGTGGTGATAATGGGTGTTCTTATTTTGTCCCTGGCTGTAACAGTAATGTTTCTAATGTTTCACAAGAAAGTATAATGTGTGAACAGGCTTCTGGTACCTACCCTTTATTAAGTTAAGAAAACTACCTCTAAATTCTCTGAGATCTAAGCTGAAATAAAATGTAAAGAGTTGTTGGATCAAAGTGGAATGAACCCAGGACATAATACTAAGCATGGAGAACAGCCAAGTAGGAAAATGAAGACCCGAGGGAGAAAAGCCAAGAGAAACCAGATCAAGTTCATGACCATGAAGAGGTTCTCCCTTGGATCTGAACTTCCTGGGTTATTCATGTTAAAGCTTATGTTCCAGCTTCTTGCAGAAATAGAATGAGCAGAAAGGAGTGGTGCTAGAAGTTTATCATCCCTGGCTCCTAGACTATTCTGACACTGATCCTGCCCATGTGCCTTTATCTACACAGGCATGGCAGACATCATGAAGGGCAACTAAGAAAGTTGTGCAAGCAGGCTCTGCTGACATAAGAAATACTGTTCACAACAGGGCATGGACCAAAGAGGCCCCTTACAGGCCTGGAAACCAAATATAACTGTTCCCTCTATGCATCTCATCCCTTCTCCCAAATGAGTCATTCACAGTTGGTGACGGAAAAGGGAGCGGAGATGTGCCAACAATATCACCCCCTTCCTATGACTTCTTGTCATCCTATGGGATTTAGAGGTTGACAGTCAAGACCTCAGAGGCTAGTAGGAAAAGGCTGAGGGGAGAAACACTACAAGATGGATATCCTTCCCAAAACATTCAGGTATGCCTTTCTCTTGAGCAAGCTCCAGGAAAGCTATATGGAAGGGTTCAGTAAGGGGAGGAAGTTCATCTCACTCCCCCAGAGAAAAGCTCCCTGGATCCTATTCCTCGTTAGGCTAGAGTGTCACTATTCCTCGGGCCACCACCCCGACTGCAAAATCTTAAGAGGGCTCCATTCCCCTTCCTTCAACACAACCGGGAGGAAAAGTATGTCTGCTGAGAAAGATGCTGGGGAGTCCTTATCTCAGGGGCCCAGACAAGGGAGAAAGCAGAGATGTTAGCTCCATCTGGACCACCCTATGCAGCCTTTCTCTCACTGCTGGGTTACAGAGGTAGGCATGTATCCTGTGTTTTGGCTCTCACATAAAAGCAACGATGTGCAGCTAGACTAGCTCTCCAGGGCAGGGGAAGCCCTGATTACCAGTTTCAGTGGTGTAAATACTTCCAAGATGGCCAATTTCAAGGATGGATACTTGAGCTAGGGACTGTTCTCTGCCCTGAAGTACAGAAGTAGGGTGCCCATGCATCCCACACCCAGTCCTGGGCCCAGCCCGACAGCCAGCTGCCTGCCCCAGCACTTCCCCAAACCCACCAGCCATCCCCAGCAAGGGTGTCTCTCTCCCTGCGGTTGGCGCGGTGACTCAGCTTCCTCTAAATTTAGGAAAAAGGGGTGCAGGGCAGTGTCAGCAGCCCAGACTCCTCTTCTCTTCCCTGAGCTTCCACCACCCTGCCCGCTGAGGAAGTGGGCACAGGCCCCAGTCCCCAGCCCCCAGCCCCAGTCTTTGTTCACCCCTGACTGGACTTTACCTCTACAATAAAATCAACCCACAGGCTTTCCCACCCAGTCTGGCTGCCCCCATGATATGGTCATAGGCTTGGGCCCACGGGAAGGAAGGGAACCCTTCCTGTCTTCCCCAACATAGCCCTGGACAGTCTGCCACTTCTTGCCTTTATCTCCCAGTAAGCTCCTCCGGTTGCTCCACTCTCTTTCCTCTCTCCAAAAAGATAAGCCCGCTCATGTTTTGATAGGAAATGGAGCTTTGTTTCTCAGCATGGGCTTCTCATACAAAGCTGATCCTAAAGCAGGGATTAACTGGACAAGAAGAGGGACCTTGGCCTCCCCGACACAAAGAAATATCCCAAAAGGACCCACGAGGGTTGAATACTCAGAGCTCTCTTGGGCTTTGTTATACCTCTGGGAGGGCCCAAGAAGGAATCTGCGTCCACTGAGACCTCCCTCCAGCCTTTTCCATGCCTTCCTCAAGAAACTGAAGTCTGAGCACAGCGAGCACTGCAGGTAGCCGCAGAGAGCAACTCCTCTTGACTTAGAAGGTATGCACTCCAATCTCAAAGTCACCACCTCCAGGAAGTTTTCCCTGATTGTCCTAGGTGGTAAGTCTTGCTTTCCCGGGGCTCTGAGGCTTTGGTCTCTACCTCTGTTGTGGCATACATTCTGTTAGAATCACCTGTCTCCTTACTAGACAGTAAGCTCCTTGAGGACAGGAACTGAAAGACATTGATCTTTCAATCCCAATGTCTGCCTTGTAGCCTAACAGACAATAAGTGCAGAAAGGGATAGCTAGTATGTGGGCTCTTGCCAACCTCTTCAGGCCAAAGCTGTGTTTGCTGAGTTTTGATGGCTGTGCCTGCGCCTCCCCCAGCAGGACAAACCAAAATCAAAGAAGGAAGATGTAGAGGAAGGAGGGGATACCCAGTACTGATGATCCCTGAGGCTCTTACCTGCTACCCGGTGGGCCACTAGTCCCTCCAGGTTCAAGGGCTCCTCCTCCGGAGTCCGGGATGGATCTGAAGTCACCTCCTTTGGTGGGAGCTGAGGCTGAGTGGTGAGGCCAGGGAGAGAGGCTGGGGGCTGCTGAGGCACTGGAGGGTTGGAGGTGGTTGAAAGAAAGGCAGGCAAGGAGGAGGGAGAAGCTGGGCTCTTTGGACGGTAACTCTGGTTGGGCCCAGCTGGACACGGCTGGTAATCATAAGGTGAGTAAGACCTGCCCGGAGGGGCGGACTCCGGCGAGGCTCGCAGGGCCGGCTCGGGGGTTCCCAAGGAATGCCCACTGGGGATGTAGCCAGATCTGGACTGGGTCAGTGGATGAGACTGGTAGGAGGAGCAGGAAAGAGGCTGGGAGGAAAGTGGGGAGGCCCCTGGCCAGGCCCCAGGGACACTCTGGGACTTGTGCAGGGGGGTGGCAGCCGTAGCCGGCTCCAGATCCAGCATCAGCATGTTGAGGGCTTCAATAGACTGCTCAATCTCCTGCTGGGAGGCTGCCCTTGGGAACTCAGGGAGGCCAGACATGGGGGTCTCTGCCAATGGCTGGGGGCTGGGCCTGCTGGGCCCAAGACTTTCCAAGTGGGCTCTTTCCTGCTGGCGAGGAGGTGGGCGAGGCTGAGGCTGCTGCTGCTGCTGCTGCTGTTGCTGCCAGGAGTTGAGGCCCCTCTGCACAGCCTCCCTACTGCTTCCCCCCCGGGCAGGAGCTGGGGGCAGCTGGGGCTCAGTTTCCGGAAAGGACTGAGAGCGGAACATACTGCTGGGGTCATGGCCATAGTGAGAGGTGGTCACTGGCTGTGGCCAAGTTGGGTGGGGGCTCTCCCGCTGGTAGCCAGCTAAACTCTCCTGTGCGGAGTAGGAGGGCCGCATAGGGGCCAAGTGGCTGGCATGGGCAGGCACTGCGCGGCTGGCAGACTCATAGGGATAGCCCCCGCCATTGACCATAGGTTCCATGGGGTAGGGCTTGTCCAGGCCATTGGTCAGTGGGGACAGGGCCTCTGGGTAGCCTCCCTCACTGGTGTTAGTGATCCCATCCAGGGAGGACAGTGTGCCCATGCTGCCCACACTGTGCCCATCCTGGTTGGGCAGCTCATCGTCCAGAATGTCTGTCTCCCGCTCAGATGCCAAGGCCCCACCGTTGACATGAACCTGGGCTGGGACCACGTGACGGACAGAGGAGGGCGCAGCAGGGCCCCCCGCCAGGCGGGACCGGAGATGTTGTGTGTGGTACATGGTGCCTGGCTTCTCTCGCTCTAAGCCGAAGCCACTGAGCAGGCGGTCCAGCTCACGCTTCTCCTCGGGACTCAGGGCAACAGGGGCACTGGAGGGGCCGGGGGCAGGCTCATCGGTCTTGTCTGTCTTGGTGGATGCTGTGGAGTTGCCCGAGTCACTGCTCACGGACAGGGTGTGCTCCACGTGGTTGGGGGTGGCCGACAGGGTGGGACGTGTGGCGTTGACGGCCCCAGTGCTGCCGTGCAGCGAGTCCTTCTTCTTCACCTTGGCATACAGGCTCCCATCCAGCGGCCCCTGAGTGTGTCCCACAACTTCTGCAAGAAGAGGAGCAACAGATGGCAGATGGCAGTGTGAGGCAGGGACACCTTCTACCTCCATTCCCTGGATCCTAAAACCTCTTCTCAGTTCCCTGGGACAGAGCTAAGGTGACTTTTAGGACCAAAGGACCCTACCGTAGCCTTTGGGCAGAACCCATCTCAACATCAAGATTCAGGGTCAGGCAGTGAGCCTAGGACTGGGCAGGGGGTCCTGGGGGGCGGGCAAGATGCCCAGTCTAAAATCTGCCTCTGGCATCCTGCTAGCTTTCCAAGAACCTGAAAGTTCTGGGCCAAGGTGGTGTTCAGCAAGGCCAGCAGGCCCTGTGTCAAAGGGGATACATGTTCACTCTGAATGTTGGGGCCCATGAAGGTTTCTGGAAAGGGACAGGGGTGGGGGAAGCATCTTAGGAATCAAGAACAAAAAGCAGAGGCTTTCATCAAGGAGAGGTGTCCTCTGTGTCATTTTGTCTACAGGCAGCTCTGGGACCCCCCCCCCCGCCCCCCGTGAGCAATACTTTCTCTGAAAGGAAAAAGTGAACTCTGGGTGGCTCAAGGCCAAAGGGCTGACTCAGGAGCGAAGAACTTGCCCCACCCAAAGGAACTCAGTGATTTCACACCCTGTACAATCAGCAGCCCCGTTCCCAGCCCAACACTCACAGAGACACAAACGCACACACATGGACAGGCACCTTCCAAGGCAGTTCCCTAGTTGGCAAAAGAAGAGAGCCCCTCCCAAATACTGCACAAACCCCAGAGCAGACACTAGCAATCACACACACACACACACACACACGTGCGCGTGTGCGCTCACACACACAGAAAACCCGACACAAAGATATCCAGAGACCCACATGCCAACCCTGAATCACCCAAATCAAACACCCAGAATTCACCCACATTAGACATGCTGGTGCCCCCAGTCAGAAAGCGTGATGTGGATACAAGTGTGCAAATACAAATAATAATAATAGTAGAGTAGCTAACGTGCAGCCAATACCCATTAAGCACCAATCACTTGGCTGCAGACTTTACACATACTTCGCTTCTCATCCTGTACGTCAGGCAGCATGTGCCTCTTTTAAAGATGAAGAAGCTGAGATTCCGAGAGGTAAAGCCGTTTGTCTGCAGACATACAGTACCTGACAAAGCTGGGGTTTGACATCAGAATTAACATACGACAACTGAAACAAAACTAAATTAAAATCCAAGGTAATTTAAAATCAGAACTTCAAAGGGCACACATACTTTTTATTACTCTACACTGGATCTCATCTCTCTCTCTCTCTCTCTCTCTCTCTCTCACACACACACACACACACACACACACACACACACACACACTGGAAGGAACACATAAAAGGCAGCAATACCCCAAGATAAATACTTAAATTTAAAGCCACAAACATTTCAGAAAACACAGACTCCCACCAGGCCCAAGGATCAGCCCTCGGGCCAGAAGTGGCAGCCTCTAAAAATAAACACTCATACAGAAACCCATGGCCAAAAACAAGTGATCAGACAACCACAAAACAGGAACATCCTGATTGGCACACACACACACAGACCACAAGCCAACCAAGTGATGTCACCGAGCAAGCGCGACACAGAGATGCCCGACAGGGCACATCGTCCGCACACACACCCCAGGGCTGGGGCTCTGCCCTTTCGCTCAGCTCTTCAGAACCATCTCTCTGAAGAGTTTTCCCTGGACATCTGGGGCCTCAGCCAGCAGCAGAAACCCAGTGACGCTGGCCGGAGCGTTGCCACAGCCCAGGGCTCACGGGGATGGGGTTGGTCTGAATGGGAAAGGGGTTTGGGCTGCGATAGGCCTCAATCTCCAACAGCCTGCACCTTGTGCTGGGACCCCCAAAGGCTGCTAAGAGGCTGCTGTGGACATGGCTGCCTCCGCCAACTCATCTGTCAGCACCCCTACAGGGACAAGCACTGTCAGATGAGAGAGCCTGCCCCTCGTGCCTGTCCCTCCAAAGAGTGCCTTGCTACACAAAAAGAAAGAGACCCCAGCTGGCTGTTTCCAGAGAAGAAAAGCACTGAAGACAGGAGCCTCACACCCACTCAGATTTCCAGGGGTGGTTCCCGTGAGGACGGACCCCTCATGCCAGTTAGTGGAAGTCTGAAGAGCTGACCCTCCTTCTCACTGTACCTGCAACGCTGCTGGCCATGGAGAAGCAGACACACGGCCCCGCTCAGCAATACCAGGAGATGCCAGAGTGCTCCTCCCAGGCCAGGGACCTCCTGCATGCCCTGCACCCCTAGTCCCCCAAGCCCATGCTCCCCTGTTCTGGGAAGTGGGGAGACAACAAAGCAAAGCGTGGGGTACTCCGTGCCTCCCCACTGGCACACAGAAGGCCATGAGAAGCACTGGGTGCAAATCTGAGAGCACTACCTCCTTCCGCAAAAAAGCTTCACTTGGGTGAGTAAAAGAAGAGCTTCTGGCAGGAGAGCTAAGAAAGCGTTCCCGAGGCCAGGGGGGAGAAGTCACTCCGATTCCCATTACCTGATACCCTGGCTCTGCTGGCCAGACCCTGCTCTTCATTGATTTTGAAAATGTCGATATTAAACTGATCCTGCCATGTTATTTACCCCCAAATGGGCTACTATTTGCAGCCACAACATCGGGAACGCTAAGTGCCACACCACTAAGTCTTAGTAAGAAAATCGAAGAAGTGTAAATTGTGTAATTAAATCCTGTTTGTTTAATACGAATGGAAAGGTCTATTTCTGTCCTCAAAGAAGGGCCCAGCTGCTCCTGACTGCCCGGTGCTAGCCAAATGCTCCAGGGTGTGCTGTAGCCTTCCCTGGTCATCTATCTCCCTTTGCATATCAAGGGGAGAAACTAAGGACAAGCCAGTCCCAGGTCTGTCCAGCCCGTGAGGGCTCTGCTGCCTAACCCCAGTGTACCAGCGGGACCTGTGGAGCACCTACCCCTGCTCCCCCCATCAGAGATGAAAGTAAGTGTCCCCTGCCCCCCCACACCTTCTCGCCATCCACCGCGGACACATTAAGAGCTATTTACCAGGACCACAAGAAGCCGGAACACAAGGTTGGTTTCAATCTATTAAGGCAGGAAGGACAAAAGAGAGGCAGGCAGAGGAAGGAGAGGAGTGAAAAAGAACCGGGGAGGAAGAGTGCGGGGCTTGGAGGAGGTGAGGGTTCTAAAGCTAGGGGCTACCAGATCCATCTCGAAGTCCCAGCAGCCTCCAAAGGATGGCTAGTTTGCGTAAAAAAAAAAAAAAAATCTCAGATGGCCCAGAATGAAAGTTGTACACCCAGTAGAAGAGGGGCAAGGGATAGAGGGAAGAACCTGCCTGGCTGGGGCTGTGGGTACTGGCACAGATGACAATGGACTGGGAGAATAAACTGCGGGGGAAGCACGAGTTACATACAGGCCAGGGTGCTGAGCTCCCTGGCCCCAATCTCCAGCCAGCCTGGACATCATGTCTCCCCGACCATCTCCCTACCCACTTCTCTAGGGAAGCTGAGAAGTCCAGTCTTTTCAAGGCCCCACTTGTTTTGTCTGCATGAGTCTCCTGGTTCTCCCCAGCAGCTGCTTGAGGCCCTGGACTCCGCCCTCGATGCTGAGCTTGACTGCACCAAGGAGCCCTTATTCCACGGCGGCAGTAATCCAGATGCGCGAGTCATGCTTTTGGAAAGTGCTGAGGAAAATCCCCAGCTGACTTGGATGGGGACCTGCTCCCCAGGCTCCCTCCAGTGAACTGCGGAGGTGTATGTGGGGCTAGAAGCACAGCGCAGGCCAGAATGCAGGAAAGGAAGGCCGTGTCTGCCCACACACTTAATAAAAAATGAAAGAAATAAACACGATACTAAGATGATAGGGACTCACGGCAGTTATTCTCTAACTCTTATGTTCCTAAGAACCTCCTCTGGGGCTTGTTTAGAAATGAAGACTCTGGGTCCTCACCTCCACAGATTTTCCCTCCTAGATCTGGGGTGGGGCCAAGAGTCTGCATGTTAACTAGCTCTCTGGGGGTTTGGTGCACACATGGGTAGGTAGTGTCTTGAGAAACCCTGACCCAGTGGCCAGCATTCTGAGCTCCCAGGTTAAGGACCTCTGCTTCTCTTACCAATGCCAAGTGGGAGATTTCATTTACTGAGACATCGGGACAAATGGTCCAACCATGGAGAATGAAAGGCTGCTTGACTACAAGAAAGAAGTCTCCTTTGGCGATGACTCAATGAGGAGAGACCCCTCACTGTCCAACAGCAGGTCTGTTTTGGACTGTGACTGATTTGTTAAGGTCCTCAGGATAGGACGCTTCATGATAAAAAGTCCTTTGAGTCCACATTCAGCAGAATAATGCTCCATTAAAATGCATCACCCAGAGCAGTGACGACCAACCACTGGAGGAAAATCAGTGCTTTCCAATAGGCAGAGGCACCACACCCACCCCAACACAGGCAGTTTGGAGGCAGACAGGGGCCTCGGCAGTGGGTGGAGGGGATCTAGCTCCTTAAATGTGGGAATGGGGCATTAAAGGCCATGTATGTCTGGGAGGTAAGTGACCTTTGACGAAGTTTGAGGCTTGGCCAAGAGGCAACCAGGAGAGCAAGTTCTGAACATCTTAACCCTTTAGCCACAGACTCTCCCCTAACCACAGAAGGTGCCAGGCTGGGGTCAGGGCTGGGGCTGTTAAGACGCAACATGGGAGCCAGAGGATGAAGCTGAGAACCAGGGAGGCCATAGGGATGTGCTTCTGGAGAGGAGACAGAAGGGAGGCGCCCCTCCCACCCCACCCCTCAGCCAGACACACCCATCATTCAGAAGGATGATCTCCATCTAAATGGCCAACTCAGCTCGCTCAACCACTTAACCACGCAGGACCTAGCTACATAGACACTTGAATGCATACGTGCAACTTTGCTGAGTGACAGGATTCAGGAGCTAAGTACCTTGAGCTTGGCCTGGAACATCCTCTTCTTTCCATTTGAACAGCTCTCATCACCCACAAAGTAAAGCT